GTTAATAGAATCATTTTTTTTTCTTCTTTTTCAATATTCTGACCAATAGATTACAGTTAACATTTTAATGTCCATTGGAAAAGATGAGGATGAAGATGAATTGTTAACAATGATTTTGATTTTCTTTTGACAAAAGATGAGAGATGAACCATCATCATCAGTTACATTTTCATCCTGACAAAAGATGTGTCATCAATGATAAAGGTGATGAAGATGATAATCAGTTGATCATCAATGATGAAAATGAAGAAGAAAAAAAATCCAATACAATTTTTTAATCATCTTAATCTTTTATCCGGATCACTTATATTTTTCAGAATTTCTTTTTGGAAGAAAACTTTTTTTCCTCTCTCTTCCTCTAACTTTTTCCAAAGGTTAAGATTATCATTCTGAACTGGACTGAACTTTTTGCTACTCTGATGACCTCCAACTAAAGGGTAACTTAGGTGATGGACTTTTTTTTCATTGACAGGGAAAAATTTTCCACTGGAGAAGAAAAAATTTCATCATGATTAAGTTTCAATGGTAATGATTATAATCATGATCACATTGAAAGGTTACCTCGTTTCGATATATCAAGTTATCATCTTAATCATCACCTTGGGTTATGAGTATTAATATTGAATCCAAATTAACTAATCAGCTTGATTGTTGGTGATCAGAGACAGAGAAAGTGATGAATTGCAATTTATTCACTGTGATCACTAATTTAGTTAATCAACAATTTATTACCCAATATCCTTTACCTTCATCTTCATCTATTGATATTAATCTAATTTTATCTTCTTATGTTTCTCCTCATTAGCATCTTCATCTATCATCTTGTATCATCATCATCTCTTTCAATAGTTTATACCTTTTATAGACTAATATCCTTTGGGTCAGTTTATTTTCAATGGACTCAAGTTGTTGGACAATGTTTTTGTTGGTCAGTTTTATTAGTCTGTTAATGGTCATCTCACTCTCTCTCTCTCTCTCTCTCTCTCTCTCTCTCTCTCTGGTCACTTGTTAGTGTACGTGTTAGTTAATTGAAAGGATGAATGAAGAGGATGATAATGATAATGATAAGAAGGATAAAATTTGAGTAGCCTTTAGTTGACCATTTAATGGTCAACAATATAACCTAATCATTTTTATTACTTTTATTACTATTATCATTATTATGGTCAACTAACAATTTACTGACCATTACCTGTGCTATTTACTGTTACCAATATGTGATAGGAAAATGACCAATTATAATAAAAATCAATTAATTGTTGATTATATTTATTAAATCAAGTTTTCCAATTAACTGGCTCATTGATTATCTAACACCTAATCCTCTTGTGTTTAATTTTAATACATGTATCAACCGACTGGGTTACAACAATTAAAAGTTGATTGTTAATTGAGTTTTAGAAAAGCAAATTAAATCAATGTTATTTCATTATGTGAATGAAACAACATAATTATGAACAAAATATTCAACTAATCATTTTAAATTATTCAAATTAAGTCATTGATCATTATGGTCAGTTGATTGAATGGTTAGTTGATTATTGTAACAGGCAAAAAAAAAACTTAGATTAAAACAAATCTAATAATGTATCAATGTCAAGTAATTAACTCAACTCATTATTGTGAACAAAAAAAAGTGATTAATGCAAAAAAGGTAAATGTGATGATGAAGGAGGTGGTGATGGGGATTAAGTTGAGGATGAAGATGAAGATGAAGATGATGCGCAATTGTATGAAATAAGAGGGATGATTAAGGTCGGTATGAAGGGTAAATGAGGGTTACATTGAGGGTGAGAGAAGGTGAATAAGGAGAGAGGAGGACAGAAGATGAAGATTGGGAGTGGAAGAGAAAGAGAGAGAGAGAGAGAGAAAGAGAGAGAGAGAGAGAAGATAAATAAGTTCACCTTGTGTTGTTTTCTGTTCCTGAAACCAAGTGAATTTACAGAAAAAAAGAGAATCGGTTACTATGACAACGTTCTCGATAAATGATTCTCATTGGTAACTTAGGTTTTCCAAGGCAACTCCTACTTTCTGTACATTTCCTTCATCACCTTTACCTCCCTCTGTATTCAACTCATCCCTCCCTCCATCATCATCATTATCATCATTACCACGCCATCTTTAGTGTCCACTATTGAACTGACCATAAAGCTTGAAGAAAGAAAAAAAATTTTTCTAAATCATTTCAAATTGTTAACATTACTTTTGACTTTCATTTTCTTAACACAAGTAAATTAGTTTAAATGTTTATTAACATGTTAATTGTGATTGTGGATTTACTTAAATTGATCAACCACAATCAACTTTTATTGTTATTTGGTTAGTTAATTTGATTTGTCTCTGATGATTGAAAGTAATATTACAATTGAGATTGTTACAATTATTGGTTGGGGTTGTTAATTTAATTACTGATTGTAGTTACATTGTATTCATTGATTGTAATAACAATCAAGATATAATTATCTGGGTGAAAACTTAATCAATGTAACAATCATAATCTATTAAATGGGATAATCTGTTTGTTATTAGATAATCATTTCAATTGTAAATAAGATTATCCCATTTGGGGAAAAAGTAAGAAAAAAAAATTCTCATCATCTTGATGATGAAGATTTTTACAGTTATGATTAGAAGATGATAAATTAAGTTGATCTTTTTTTTTTCATCTTCTTGCTAAATCTCATTAAGGATGAAAAAGTAGCAAATGATTATGAAGATAAAGAGACAAGGATGAGGATGAGATTTGGGTGGACAATGAGGATGATGAAGCCTTTGAATTGATGATGATCAAGTCATTTTGATGAATACAAGTGACCTGCAAGCTAAATGACCATTGGTCAGGACTTTAACTTATCTATTGTTGGGTAACTGATTCTCTTATTTTTTTTGTCTGTTGGTCATCATCATGAAAAGACAACAAATGATGATGGAAATGATTTAACATCTTTCATCATCTTTATCCTTCATCATCATTATCTTAACTCATTTAGTTTGTAAGTCAAAAAGATGAGGATAAAAAACAGCCTTGATAACCACAATGACCAATGGTCAATCTGATTTACCTTAATATAATAACAAGAAAGTAACAAAAATTGTCAATGTAAATTCAATGATTAATTGAACAATTTGATGTTTATGATTAACAAATGAGTTTTGAGATGATAATCAAATAAACCATTTGGCATTTAGATTTAATTTCAATCATAATAATCTTTAATATTCAAAGAATTGAAATTCAATAGTTACATGAAATTTTCATGGAAATGATAAAGTTAATCAGGGTTAGGAAATTTCAATGTTTACCTATTGAAATGTAACAAGAAGTTGAGAGAGATTAAACTAAAACTTGTATACTTTTCAGATTCATGAGATTCACCATGAAATTTATCATGTATTCAACTGATATTAGTGTCAAACGTTATCAGGGTGAAAAAGATTTTGAAAGAATCTCAATTTTTGAATTGGAAATAAAAAAAAATCGATCGACTTTGAGAAGGAAAAAAAAGTTCAATTGATCTGAAAACTTTTTTTTTCCAAAAAGAGGAAAACAAAATTTCATCATGAAAAATTCAGTTTCAGGATTGAGAAAGAGAGAGAGAGATAAAGATTAAACTCTATAACCAATTTACCATGTAAACCAATTGATGAATTATTGAGACTAAATTGTTGATTAAGACGGAAAGTGTTTCCATCAAAGGTTCATCATTCATATCTCATGAGATGATCAGTTGATTGTCGATAAAGTTGATATTTAATCAAGATGAATTACCTGTCATTCCCTTGAATACATTAAAACAATCAGTAGTTACTTTCATCATTAAAGTTCACAATTAATCAATAGTAAACATTGATTCAACTATCCAACTGATTGATTGAGTCAATTTTTAATTCAGTTTAAATAATTTTTTTCAATATTTTCAATGTATTAATACATTTGATAAATTGTATTTTTATCATCGGTGTTTATTGTTATGTATTGATTGTTATCTAGATAACTGTTAATTCTGGTTAAGTGTCAGTAAGTTAATTTAATTATTAAGCTACAGTTAATTTAGGTAACTTGATAATTTCATTTTCAGATGTTGAGTTAATCAATTCTGATCACATTCACCATCCCAATGGTTAATAATAATGTAATAATCTGTAGGTAAATGTAATATTAACAACAATCAAGCTTTCCAATTGTAACTAAATTACTATTATTATTATTCAATTATCTTATATCAAATCATCTTCATCTTTATCTTCATCCTCATCATCATCTTCATCTTCATTGTTACCTGGTTGTCATCAGTTGTAAAGGTGAAAATGAAATCTGACTTTAGGTTCAATGTTATTTGAATGTTTAATAAACTTAACTTTTTTTTATATTCACCTTGATTGTTGATTAAATTGTTTCCACTATTTATAAATTAGTGGGATAATTTAATTAGCATAATTTAACTTTGTTAAAAAGCAAAGTTAACAATCAACTGAATTTGGATACGTTTCAGATTCACCAACGATAATGATTATATTAACAATCAGCCAAGTTAATTGGATAAAAACAAAGTGAACAATTTAATATGATCAATTTTAATATAAGAATCAGAAGAAGATGAAAGAATCAAAAAATTTATGGTAATTTGATTGTGAAAACTAATTGTTGACAATTAGAAATTTATTGTTTTTCTCTATCATCGAGGGTCCAAAATGTTGTCAATTTAATTTTCTTACTGTTCAGCTGATCATTAGTACTAATTTACTGGGCTAATGGTCAGTAATGTATATTAATAATACATGACTGACCCTCTATCAAAAGGGATCAATAAATTGGTTGAAAATAACAGTGTTATTAACTTGCAAGAGGAAAGTGAATTAAATTAATAAATATTAAATTCATATCACAAATTGTAAACCATTAAGATGAAACTTTTAGGTGTTGGTCTAATGGATGAAGATGAAGGTTATTTGTAAGTTGATGATGGACAGAGAGAGAGAGAGAGAGAGAGAGAGGAGACCATAGCCAATGGTCAAGGAAAAGTGATATCAGAATATGTTTTGATTAATAAGATTGTTTTTTTTCTCGAACATCAAAATATAGTGAGAAAAAAACATAACGATAGTTGGTGATGGGTGAAAGTGAGAAGGATGGGAGATTAATAGATTGATATAAATCAAGTGAGAAGATGATGAAGAGCAAGAAGATAATCTACTGTTAAAGAGGAAGGTTAATGTTCAGTCTAGTTTTCTGTTTTTGATGGTTCATCATCTTCATCATCTTTCTCATTTTCAGGTAATTTGTTGGCTCTAATGCTTTTTATGCGTTATCATCATAATCATCATCATCATGGTCAAAGAAAGAAAATGATGATGAAGTGAAAGAAAAATAGAAGATATAAAAAAAAGAGTCATAAGTGAATTGACATTTTTCTCAGGTTAAAGGATAAAGAGGAAAAGGAAATCAGGATGAGAGATGATCTTTATTCTCATTATCATCATTTTTGTTTCCCTTTCTCAAATCTCTTGATGTTAATAACTTTTTTTTTCCTATGGTTACATGAATTTCCACTTATATCATTAGTTTGATGATGAAATAGAGAGAAAGAGAGTGAGAGAAAGGAAGACAAAGATGATGAGAGATGATAGATATGAAAAATGAGAAGTAAAGTGAAAAAAAAGATCTAAATGAATATGAATCACCTTACGATCAAACTATATATACAGAGAGAAATGATATAAAGATGATTACATATGAAATAGACAGAGATGGAGAAAGAGATGATCAACTGGATGATTATGGTGATGACGATAATTTAGTAAAGGTGAATGAAGATGTATATCTGCATAAGTGTTATGTGGTTTCAAGATAAATAGTTATCTTTTTCCTCCTTTGGTGTCGATCCTTTTAACCAGGGAAAATGTTGCTCTCCAACTTATTTAATAAACTGTTCATTCAAATTATCCTTGTCCCTTGTTATTGAGTATTCACTTTAAGAGGCAAAGTCCATTAGCATCTTCATCTTTCGAGTTTTTCCTTTTCTCTTATTTTTCTCTTTCTTTTTGCTTCTTCTCATCATTTTGATTGCTTTCTTTTTTTTCTTCTTCTTCTTATCATCCTTTCCAATGGTTCATCTCTTTCTATAATGGATTCACCACTTTCCATTTATCTTTTTTCCATTTGCCTTCTTTTTTTTCCTTTGGTAACTCTTTGGTGATGGTTGTGAGTATTTTCCCTCCTTGTTGTTGTTGTTGTTGTTGTTGGATCTTGATAACTGTTAATAGTAGTTTATATTCATCACCATTAGATAATATTCAAGTCACAAAGTGATAGTTTTGCCATTTTAGTTGCGATCAATTTTTGATGGGAATTCACTTATATCCTTTTGTCTCTTTCTTGGTTCCTTTCTTGGTTTGGTTTCCGAGTTCCTTTGTGGTTACAATTATCATGGGGCGAGAAAAAGTGATCTATCAAATTGTTCACAGTTTGAACAAATTGAATCAACGAGTCATTAATTAATAAATTGATATACTTACAGTTTATTTTATTTACCTCTTTATCTAATATACATTATCAAGATAACTCTTTCCATTCCTAAGGCTACTTTTAAACGGAAAAACTATTATCTCAATAGAAGTGTTTTTTTGTCTTGGATAATACAAACTTTGTATCAAATTTATATGGGATAAATTGGGATTGACCATAAGTTCATAGGTTGACCAGTACTTTAACAATATTGATTTTGAACATAGGGTTTGATAAATGTTTTATATATATAGGGATTTTTGTCCGTCCTTAGATTACCAGGAGTTTGGTATCATCTTTAGGTTAGAATTCCTCTTACGGCCATATCCTCGATGTAAGACTTTTTCTTTTGCTAAAATTGATTGAAAGATCGAGAAATCAAATTATTATTATTAGAAGAAGAAGATAAAACAAAGAAATAGAAATTTAATCAAAAGAATATTGAAAAATGTAGTATTACTTGAATCTCTGGTGCATCCGCATTTTCTTTGGCTATCCTATTCCTCCAAGCAATTAAAAGAGAGTCATGGTGAGGTTCAATTATTCCAGCATAACCTACAATTAAGAAGAAGGTTAAATAGTAAAATGTAAGATTAAAGAATTAATGATAAATAAGAATTAAAAATTGAAACATTTGAAATGATCAATCCGGTTTCAATTTTTCCTTTCAACATTTTGGCTTAACATGAATTAGATTTTAGATCATAACCAAAAAAAGAAAACATTTACAACTTACCCAATAAAGCTGCAGATCCTGGTGATAGTTTAGCACCTTTACCAAGCCAATAATTTAATCGATCAATATCAACGGCAAATAATCTCTCATTAGTTTCATTAGGAAATAAATCAAACGAACCAATTACTTCATCGGGAACTCGACCGACCCTTTTTTTAGAAGGTAAAACAGCAAGATGATAGAAAGGACGATTCACACAACCTTCTCTAACGAACCTAATGGTTAATCCCGATGGCCAGAAGAATTTACGTCTCATAATTACAATTAATCAAAGTCAACAATCAACACAAAAAGAACAACAATTAAATTAAATCATGAGAAAAAATAAAAACAACAGAACAAAATTTCATTTTGTTCATCAGATTGAGAACACATGGTGAACAAGTTACGCCATCTGAGGAGAAGAAACGAAAAACCCAAAAAGAACAAAAAATTTACCATATGTTTGAAAATCGAAAAAAAAATTCTCTTCACTTTTGTCTTTTTCTCTTTCAATCAATGGTGTTTAATTTAAATCGATTGTCTTTATCTTTAGAAATTTAATCAAATTAACGTTTTCTCCATTCAATAAGAATAATTATTTTACTCTCTTGGTTTTTGGATTAGTTTCTTTTCTGTTACTTTGGTTTAATTATCAGGTAAGCCGGTTAACCTTTTTCTTTTACCTCTTCTCTCTTGTATATGTTTGCATCTCTCTCTCTCTCTCATTCTCCCCTCTTGCTCTTGTAACCTGTTCTATTAAAATTGATTTATATCTAATAAGGATTTTTGTTTGAAAAGGTAGAAAAACTTGCTTATGTCAACCGTCAATTGATTCAGTTTATTCTGTATTACTGCTAATATATATATTACCTGTTTCTTGCTAATTTGTATCCTCTTTCATTATTTTTCTATCTCCCTCCCTCCTTCATTGCCCATCACCATCATTATCGTCATCTTTTTGCCTCTCTCGCTCTCTAAATATCGCTCTCTCTCTCTCCCTCTCTATCGCTATCAAATGCTCAAAAGAATAATTTCTGTTTCTGCTTATACTCATCTTCCTGTTTTTCTTTTCACTAATTTACTAACATTGTCTTAATTTGACTTGAGTTTATTTTTGTTTTCATTCAAGTGTAACCTTTGTCATTTTCTTTTTCTTTTACTTGTGAATATAAACCAGTGAGCAACACGAAAAATCATGTCATCAGATAGTAAAACATTTGGTACCAATGGTGTTGACAATACAGTTTACCTTGGATTTGCAAATTTACCCAATCAAGTTCATCGTAAATCGGTTAAAAAAGGATTCGAGTTCACTTTAATGGTTGTTGGTGAGAGTGGTCTTGGTAAAAGTACCCTGATTAACGCCCTCTTTTACAGTCAATTGTATAAAGAGCGAAAAGTACCTGCGGTTCAAGATCTCATGGAAAGCACCGTAAACATTAAGCCAAGTTCAGTTGAAATTGAGGAAAAGGGTGTAAAACTTAAATTAACTGTCGTTGATACTCCAGGTAATTTTTGATAACACACAAATCAAACTGCAATTAATTTTTTTCCCTTTAATGTACACTTTTTTATTGTACAGATTGTCATTTATCATTTTCAATAATGATATCTCATTATTCATTTCCTTTCATTTATTGTTTGTAATATACTCACTCTATCATTTTCCCTCTTTTGTTTCTCCTCCTTTGTGATTGAACATAAAAACTATAGGTTTTGGTGATGCTATCGATAATACAACTTGTATCCAACCAATAATCAGTTATATTGATGAACAATATGGTAAATTCCTTGAATATGAAAGTGGTTTAAATCGTAAACACATTGCCGATAGTAGGATTCATTGTTGTTTCTACTTTATCTCACCTGTTGGTTATGGACTTAAACCATTGGATATTCAGGCAATGAAATCTTTACACACCAAGGTTAACCTGATACCGATTATTGGTAAAGCTGATGCCCTGACAAGACAGGAAGTTACCGATTTAAAGAAACGTATTATGAAAGAGATTGAAGCCAATGGAATCTCAATTTACACTGTACCAGATTGTGATTCTGATGAAGATGAAGATTATAAGGAGCAAATTAGATTGATTAAAAATGCTGTTCCCTTTGCAGTTTCATCTTCTTGTGAATTAGTTGACCTAAAAGGACGTAAAGTTCAAGGACGACAATATCCATGGGGAATATTGGAAACTGAGAATCCTGAACACAGTGACTTTGTTAAACTTAAATCTCTCCTTGTGACCCATATGCAAGATCTTAGAGAGGTAACTCATGAAGTTCATTATGAAAATTATCGTGAAATGAGACTCACCCAACGATCATCAAGCATCGTTTCACAGCAAAGTCTGGTCGAATCACTTTCTTCATCTGATGATCCTGATCGTATATTAAGAGAAAAGGAGGAAGAATTGATGAGAATGAAGCAACAATTATTACAACTTCAAAGTGCCATGAAACATCCAACCAATGGAAACAACGGAACAAACGGAACAAATGGAAATAATTGTTCGGACAATTAAACTCACAACCACAGACACCATTAAACTCATTCAAACAACCAAACAGGAAAAACCAACGAACAAACAAAATCGAGCAAAAGAACAGTATTTCCATCTCTGTCATTCTCTCTCTCTCTCTCTCTTTCTCTCCTTAAATCAGTATATCCATCATCAATTCCGAGATCTCATCATCCAAATCAAAATTGATTTTATGACACAATCAACGAATGACATTAGTTCATAACACAAACTCATTGGAAGAAATCTCTAAATGGACAACCACGCACTTTTTTTTACTCATACATATACATTTCTTAACATTGATGAAAATCGGCTGAAATTTACTATCATATTTTAATTACCGCCATAATTAACATTAATATAAATTGTCTGAATGATGAAAACCCTTTTTTTTATAATATACACACAACAATTAATTAACCAAATGTTTGCCAAAATTATGCTGATGAGAAAATGATTAAATTCAAATAAGCCTAAATTAATCGCAATTGTTTTCCCGCAAATTTATGCAATTTGATTCATTCAACAATCAAGGAACTCGATTTGTCCCCAATTAATTTGATTCCAATCTAAGATTATAATCAAATTATAATCATTAGCAAATTTTTAAGCAAAAAAAACCTTGAAGCAAAAAAGATGAGCTCAGATTATTGAGCTTGATTAAAATTCAATCAGGTTATTGAAAAATTGTTTCAAAATCAATTTTCTAGATTTAAATAACAATTAATTTTAATTGATAATAGAAATGATAATCAAAACTTATTTACGAAAAAATAATTTCTTGATTAACAATACAAACAAATGAACCAAATAAGATACAAAAATAACAGTTAATGATAAATTTACACAATCAGTAATACTTATGGTTTAAATTGTCAATTGATTTGTTAATTTTGTCTGCACAATTTAAATTGTTAACCAGTTAATTGTTTCCTCATGTTAACAATTCGTTCACTTAATGATTTGTCTCCAGGTCCACATTTCTTGTGAACATAATCAAGAGCTTCAACATCTTTAACCATGAAAGCAATTTTGGCAGCATCTTCCAACAATCTAGGTGACAATTAAGGGAAACAATTTAGTTAATCATAATCAAATTATCGACAATTAACTTACCCTGTTTTAACATAATAATTAACTTTATATTCCTCTCTCACTTTGATGACATATTTTTGAGCTTCGGATTTGTTTTTATATTTAAGACAAACGGTAACAAATGGCTGTTGGTTAATCAGTAATTAAGAAGAAGAAGAGAAAAAGATAATTGATTAATTGATTTGATCGTAATTAGTTGATTAACTTTTGGTGTTTTCTTTTACCTCATAGCCTATTGGTGATTTTTTACTTTTACTGAATCTCTCAAGTTCTAGCCAATCTTTTTGCTCGGCAAGTATGTTGATCTTAAGGAGCCAATATCGACGATCGGGAACTTTGAAATCTTTTTTTAACCCTTCGGCTAATTTGACCTCTTTATCGCGTAAAAGTTTGGACATTGTCTCTTGTAGAGACAGGCCCAAAAAGGGTTGTTTAAATTTCTCTTCTAATTTAACTTGATTTTCCATTAATTTCAATTGCTCTTCAGTTGCCATTGTGCTAAATTCATTTTTACCCCGACGGAAACACTCTTGGGCTTCAAGTAAACAACGTCGACGATCACTAAGGCCATTATGTTGATAGGCTTCCATTACTTTAATATAACCCTGAGAATTGCAATCAGATTCTTGGGTGTAAATGTCATATAATTTTTGAAGATCTTCATCTTGACAATGCTAATGGAGTGAAAATGGAGAAAATAAATTCAATCAGTTAATTGTTTCATTCCAGATGAACACTTACCTTTTTATATAAAGCGTAAGCCTCTGGGTGTTTTCTGATTATTAGGAGTAACTCTTTCCTCGTTTGATTGGTCAGTACATCGATGACCATGTAAATGAGATCAGAATTGCCGCTTTCACTTGCCTTCTTACAGGCTTGTTCGTATTGTTTCAATTCGAGGAGAAGTGGAACTTGTTTCGACGCTTTAAGTTCACAATTAAGCAATAGAATTGCTAATTCATCTCTTTTCTCCTTAATTGCTTGTTCAGCAATCTCTGCGAAAGAAACACTCGAATGTGAATCAATTTTTCTAATAATATCTTGAGCAATTTCGATATCATCAAGTTCACGTTGTTTAATCTTATAAAAAGCCCAATTTCTCAATATATGGCCAACCCCTTGATCATCGGGCATCTTCAAGTATTTGGCGATTTTAATTGCTAGAAAATATTGTCTGCGTAAAATGAGTCGATCAATTAAAACGGGAATCGAAAGGTAATCCAATTGGGTATAAGTTAAAAGTAGTCCAACACTCGATGATCTGATTGTGTTTAAAATTCGTAAATTTTGGCAAACATTTAAAAACGATTGACTAGAATCACCATCGGGAATGAATAGTTTACCAAATGATGCCGCTCGAAGTAACATCTTTTCCGAACTGACTTGAAATTCGTGACCAGCGGCAAGAGTACATTGTTTAACGGCACAATTGATCTCGTTTCGTTCACTTAAGAGTCTCATATATTCATTGGCCTTATGGACTCGCCTCTCGAACTCTTTGTTGGCCTCCATTAGAAGTGCACCAGGAGCAAGTGAACCAATTTTGAAAACTTGAACCAACGGATCGGGAACTTTTTGTATTATCTCATTGGTGTCATTGGTGATCACCCGGATTCCATCAATTTCCGGAATCAATTGAACAGGTCCATCCATTAGGTAATTTAACCAATCCTTTTCAAGGCCAACAAGGAGTAGAATCTCTTTCCATAGGCAACAAACGGCCTCATTTCCGCACCATAGCATAAATTCAGGTGAATCCTCGTATTTGGTGACAAATTCACAGATTTGTGAGACAACTCCCGTTTCGTATGATCCAATCCAAAGGATTCCAGTTTCCAGGTAAATTGCAACCTTCTTGTAATCCGAGGTAAAGGTAATATCCAAAATTGCTGATGTTCCAGTTCGTTGAAAGGCCAAAGGTTCACATTTGTTGACACTTAATTGGTACAAAAGTCCTTGTCGGGCGAACAGAATTTTAATCTCACTATTCTTACAAGCGATTACATTCCAACAGGTCGGCGGTTTCTCGCCTTTCACCATTTCATGGTACTGACGGACAATATGAGACTCGATGTTACTGATGACGTAAAATTTTTGTGACTCCGTTAAAACGGCGACACCAGTAGCATAGGAACCAGTGAATATTTTACATTGGAAAGTTTCACCCGATTTACTAAGATCATCATGGATTAGGAAACTATTCTGAAGATCACCGAAAAAATCGTAAACATAAACATAACCATTGTCTGCGATACAAATTAAGCTCTCCTTGTTTGACCAGCCCATGGTAATTAGATTAGAGGTTTTCAATTTTAAGCTTGAGAAAAAATCACCAAAAGGAGTAAATATAAACACGATTGATTTTGTATTCTGATTGGAACCAGAAAGTAATCGTACAGCGACATTGTCCTTTTCTCGTGGATGTAAAGCTAAAGACAATTTCAAAAGAAAAACAAAACAAAACAATCAAATCATAAATTAGAAAATAGATGAAAATTATTTCTGCAAAGGTGTAACTTCGGGTGTTTATAAACACTAATATACAAGTGAATGAATCAACTTTTTCATGGAAAATTAGTTGATTGTTTAGTCGTTGATTACCTATGAATCCGGAAAAAGGGGCAACACACACTTTGTATTTAGATAAATCAATTCCTTCGGTGGACCAATTAAGTGAACACAATTCAACCCGCCGGTAAAAATCACGACCAAGTGGATTCCAATCAGCAGTTGGCATTGACATGATTAGAATCTTAATACAATCAAATTCACATAAACATTCAATAAGAATTTACAATATAAATTAGTATAACTAAATTAGTTAATAATGATTACAAGATTGTGAGATTAATTAGTAAAAAAAAGTGACATTAAATCAAGAAAAAAATTTCAACCAAACAGCTGAGACTCAGAATGTAAACAAATCCGAGATCCGATATTTAGAGATTCGGATCCACAGGAAAAGTTGAAAAAAAAGTTTTTTAATTCAGTTAAATTGTAACAATTAAAGGACAGTATCAATTAAGGTTTACACTTGAATTTTATCAAAAATAAATTGAAATCAAATCAACCTTGATGAGGTAATTTTTTCCAATTGTTTCCTAAAAACTAATTTTGGTAACAATAAAAATCTGAAGAGACGGAAAAAAATTGATCAAAATCATCAGGAATGGTTAACAATTAACAGTGAACTAAATTAACAGCGTAACAATTAATAGAATTGTGATCAAACTTTAGCCTCAATTTAAAGCTAAAATTAATTAGAGGAAAATGTTTCCGATGATTGATTATAATCAGAAATCAATGAAACAACAACAAGAAGAAAAACAAAGTTTTCCAAATTTAATGGAGAAAAAAAAACCATAAAAAATTCAATTAAACTTCAATTAAACTTGAACAATTGAAGAAATGATGAAAAATTTTAGGAAATAATTAGTAGACTAATTAAATCATAACCGTAAATGACCAGAAAGGGTTAACCTTAAGGTTGGAAAGAGGGAGAAATCAAGTCAGATGAAATGAAAACTGACCAGGTAACATTGAGGGGAAAAAATTTGTCGGAAGATGAAGAAAAGGGAAGAGGATTATGAAAAAGGAAAGATGATGATAGCAGGATGATAAAGATGAGGATGATAAGGGATAACTATGATGATGTGAAATGAATGAGCCTGATGATGAAAAAATCATCTCACCGTAAGAAAAAAGGTAAAGAGATTGGGTCTAAGTATGAGGAAAAAAAAGTGCGGCTACGAATCGTAAGGTTGATGGAGTTCAGTGCCCTTATCCTGAAGAAGAAGAAGATGATGATGATGAAGATGAAGGAGGAAAAAGGTGAATGAAGGAGGAGATGAATGGATGAGAGAGAAAGAGAGAGATGAAGATAATATGGTTTGAATATCGTTGGAAAATCTTAGGAAAAACTGGTTCCAAGGTAATACATGCTTTCGCTCTTAAGGAACAGCTTCTTTACCTGAACAACATTTATCTTCATCTTTTATCTTCTTCCTCTCTCTCTCTCTCTCTCTTGATACTTTTTGCTCCTTCATCTTCTTTTCTCCTTATTCTTATTCTTCATCAGTTTTGTTGTTTATTTGACTGTAAAGAGATAACTTATTTCTTTGATTCCAGTTTATTTTCTTGATTCTTTTTCAGTGTTTACCTTTATTCTTGTGCTGGTCAATTTTCTTGATTGTGGTCATTTACTTGTAAATCTATCGTTTTGTCCACTTCTTTTTAATCATATGTTGATATTATTGTTTACAAATCCCTTTAATCTTTGTGTTACAACCAGAAAATTGGATTAACTTTCCAGTGGATTTGTGATTTTATCAGAAAAAAAATTCTATTTTCTCAATCATCTTAAATTGCTGTTTAATTTTTCACCCAAATGTTGTTGATAATTAACTAAATTTAATCATCTTTACTTTTCTGTTTACCTGTTGATTGCTTCTGATGGTCATCAACAAGTTAATAACAATCAACATCTGATGATTACCTTATCCATTGGACTTTTAAATTATTTTTCAAAGTCAACAATTAAGAGTTAATTGTTAACCTTATCGCTTTTTGTTGACTAATTAATTATTTCTTCTCCTTTATTTGATTAAAATATGCGGTTAAAGGATCTATTATGATACTTAAAGTTAATCACAATTTAAATTATCGTTCACCTTGTAAATTAATATCTCACAACAATTTAGGTTTACTGTTAACCTTGTTGTTAACAGCAATCAATTTAATACCAACATGTTTTTCCGAGTTAACCAAAGAAAATTTAACAACAATTAACTCACCATCTTCTAGCAATTTAAATAATCAACCAATTAGTATAAGTGAACTGACCACTCTAAGGATTGACCGGAGGGAGGATATTGATGTAACAACCACCGACAATGGTATTGGTTCATTGGAATCAGTTGATTCTAAATCAGGTAAATTAAAGTTAATCATTTACTTTATTGTCCAACAATTAACTAAATTGTGAGAAGCAAAGAAAGTTTCATGTTTAAATAAAACTAATAGGAAAACATTAACCTTTTGATTACAATGAGCAAAGAAAAGGGAAAAGTTAATTGTTGGCTCGTAGTCTAAATTGTAAACTGATTGGTTCACTGATTAACTAACACTGATTGTTAGAAATGATAATCCATTTGATTACATTGATCTGTTTATAGTAAAATCTAATAGTCTAATTGTTGGACAATGTTAAACATGAAAAAGAGTAACAATCAAAGTTAATTTGGTTCACTGATTAATAATTGGCATTGAATTTAAATTTCTTTACAAATTTAAATGAATGAAAGTTAACATTTTAATTACAATGGTAACTTTCATTTTCTTATGAGTACAATTAAATTAATTCATCTCCACCCAAGAACAATTAAGAGAAAGTCTAATTGTTAGGACAAAATAAAATAATAAGACAATTGAAAAAAAACAAACAAACAACAAAAGTTTAATCAAGTTAATCGCAATCATAATCAAATTAACTTCCTTAATTTTGTGATTAACTTTTCATTAGATTAAATTATGTTTAATGTAGTTGATAATTAGCAGGATAAAAGTTAATAACAATAGTTTAATTGTCATAATTTAATTCCAAGTGATTATTGTTGATATGAAGCCAACAGATGAATAATTGTCAACAATTAACTTATTATCGTATTAGAAATGAAAAAGATTACAAAAGACAGAGAAAATGATTTAATTGTGATGAGGAAATGATTAAAATCTTGTTGATTGTTGACTTTTAGAAATGAAATTTGAAGATGAGAAAATGAATGTAAGGCCAATTTAACTAAATTAACACGCGATTAGTGTTGAATGTTGAGTTTTAATTGATTTTAATTGTTCATTTATCTCTAAATCCTCTGGATTCATGACAATTAGAAGCTGTTGAGTCAACTGGTAATCGTGATGGTAACACGGCAGAAATTGTATCTACAAAAGTGACCTCAGTAAATCAGAATTCATCTGATGTTAAATCAACGCCATTTTCATCTTTATCATCATCTTCATCTTCACCGTTACCTTTATCATCAACAGAGAATCAGTCATCATCATCCAATCTGCCATCCACAGTATCAACATCAACGACAACAACAAAAGTCCCACCACCAGAATCATCATCATCTTCATTACCTGTTGATGTAAATAAACAATCAACAAGTAAATCATTAAATAGTGATAGTAATTCAAATGAGCCTTCTGCTAAATCATCTGAATCATTTGCGCCATCAGCGATTAGGCAAAATGTCACGGAAGTTGCTTCAAGAAGAGATGAGAATCACAAACGAAAGGTTAACGGTAATAATCCAGTTGATATAATTGGTAGTATAATCCAACTGATCGGTGGTAATGTGAAATTAAGCCGACCGCCGATCACACCAAGGCCCGTAAATGTTGGCGGTGGGTTACCTCAACCTCACATGGGTCCCCCTCCAGGTAGACCCATGTTGATACCTCGTCCTCCACCTCAACAGCAACAACAACCTCCACCAACCCTTGGATTACATCAACATCAACAACAGCAACAACAACAACAACAACAACAGCAACAAGGATCAGCTAATAATCCGTCACGAATCAATAATCGAGGTCCACCAAAAGTACCTTACATTGGTGCTCAAAATGGTGGATCACCTTTCCCACCAAACATTTTCGTTGGCCCTGGACAACCGGCGGGCTTACCAATTCCAATACCGACCAACTTTAATCAACCTTATCCGGTCATCCCGCAACAGAATCCAAGGCCATTAGAACATATTCCTTCCGGTCGACCACCAAACAGAGAACCAGAAGAATCCGAGGTTCGACCAAATGAAATTAATTACAATAATCGAAAACAGGTAATCGTTAATGAAGCAGTTAACGATCTTAATTCACTTGGATCAGGAGGGTCAGAGGTAAATAAACACCAACACCATCAACAGCATAATCCAAATCAACGTTACAAAGGACAACAATCAGTGTTAATTCAAGGAGAAAGTGTGAACAGTGCAAATTTTGATGATCCACCAAATCGACAGCCACCGGTGACAATTGACTCTTCCCAATCAACTCCAACAATCAGCCAATCAACTAAACAACCAAACTCATTTAATAGCAAAAATAGTTACGAATTAAATGAAGGATTATCTCCAATTAATCGGACAACAGTTTTAGAACCTTCGATTGCCCCTTTGAATGAAGATTTTATCGTTAAACCGGGATTATCTTCATCAACCTCAGGCTATTCAATTAGCTCTTCAGTTACACCTTCACTTGATTCAAGTTCAACATCTTCAACAATCAGTCCAACTGATAATAGTGCCTCAGTACCGAGTGGACCTGTGACCGCTTGGTTACCCTTTTTTGTTCAGCCCAGTGTTTCATCATCAAAGGTAATGTGGTCCGATGAACCACCGCCCATCATAACCAAGCCCGAAGAACCCTCTGTATTTGATATAACCGTTAAACACAAGATTGGACCAAATTCAGCTCGAGTTCAAGAAATACCCAAAATTGTACCAACTCGACCCGTTGAATCTGCTGTGATCATTTCACCGACCAGTGTGATTAATCAATTGTCACCTTCATCCTCATCTAGTTCAACAATTACACCTTCATTAGACGAAACAATTGTCTCAACTGTTTCCTCAAATTCCCAAGTATCGCAAGAGTTTAGTTTCACTCTTTCACCATCATCGACATCGACATCCTATGAAGTGACACGAACTGTTGAACCTGAACGATCATCGTCCAATTCAACACGAATCTTATTTCCCTCTCGTCCAGTAACAAATGAACCTGAACCCGATATTGTCTACGGTAGACCAGCAAATAAGGATCTCGAGGGTCCAGGTAATCGGGGAGCCGCTCACAAACCCACTGGTTATCAGTCTGGTTATCAACCCTCAGGTAAACCGATTAACAATGGACAGAATCGTATACCAATGACCACCAAGGAATTGGCTCGTCCCTTGATTCCAACATCGGTGATTAAACCCTCAAGTTCATCTTCAACTGCGATGCTTGGACGTCCCATCGTTATTCCTGTTGATGTTGATGAGGTTCGTCCAAACATCGGCGGTGGTAGAGGAGGAAGTGTAGGAGGTGGTAGTAACGGCGACTCCCAAGGAACACCTGACGTTCTTACCGAACCAGGTCAAGGATCAGTTTTCATCGACGGTAAACCAACCTACTTCAAGATCAGACCAGGTCCACCTAAACCTGTTGGTCCAACAATGCAGGTCGGTTCCGGTGTAACAATAAACATTGATAATCCACCGCCATCAATTGGTGGGGGTAACAAACCTTTACCACCTTCACCTCAATCTCAAGTTCCCGTTTCTGGATTACCAGGTAATCCAAGTACAATATCAGGTACAGGTTCAAGATCACCACCCGGATCATCATCAACTTCATCTTCTACCTCGGTGGTTCGTCGGCCTCCCTTTAGACCCCGTCCAAATACACCTTTAGTACGTATTGATACCTGCATAGTGGGCGATGATTCGACCTGCGGTGCCAATTTAAATGAACATTGTAAGACGGAAGTGGGAATCTCTTCATGTCAGTGTAAACCAGGTTACGGTCGAACCACAGTTCGAGGTATGTGTACACCAATAGCCTCATTGGGGGTCTTCCTGAGAATAGATAAATTAGGTGAAGCAAAGGTCACTTTTAATCGTAAATTGCTGGATCCCGATACGGAAGAATTTCAATATTTAGAATATGAAACAAATCAAGCGCTTAATTCACTATTAACAACCTCGAGATTGGGTAAAGTGTTTAAAGGAGCAAAAGTGAACAAATTTTATTCCCTTGGAGGTAAAACTGTGGCCAATGCGACAATTGAACTTGATCGTACCAATGTGACCCGATCACCGACAATTAAACGTATTGTACAACAAGAATTGGTTCGAGTTATCGCCTCGAACAATAATCGCCTTGGTGATTCTCAACTGTTCGTTGATGCCTCTTTACATGCTATTCCAAAGGTAGATGATATCAACGAATGTGCAAATATTGATCTAAATGATTGTTCAAAATTTGCCGTTTGCACCAATGAATTTGGTTCCTATCGGTGTACCTGTAAATCGGGATACGAAGATAAATTTCCAAGTGACCCGGTAAAATCGGGAAGACAGTGCGCTACCTGTTCACCGGCATATTGTTCAAATAGAGGTGATTGTATAATCGCCAACGGGGAGAAAGAGTGTCGATGTCGAGGTAATTTCATCGGCTCAAGATGCGACATCGATGGTGAGGTTCTCGGTGTGGCACTTGGTGGGTCAGTCGCCGCTCTCATTATAATTATAATCACATTCTTGTGTCTCTATATGTGGAAGTGAGTACAATTTACTTTACAATTGTTTCATCATCAACAACAATCAAGTAACTGTAATGTAATATTTTTAGGTTATTAGCATTTTCCTTGATTCCCAGTTGATTAACTTGTTAATCTCTTAATTGTAATAGTAGATTTTTATATCATTTAGGTGAATCAATTATCATCAGGGCTCCAATTTATTATTAAATCACCGTAACAATCAAACATCATCTTAATATTAGACTGAGGGAAAAAAAGTTCTATGAATATTTATGTTGATTGTTCATTGATTAGGTTGATGATTTAATTTTTTTCTTCTTCTTCATAAATTATATTGTGTGTTGATTAACATTTACTTTGCAATTGATTTACTAATTTGGTTGTTTCTTCCTGTTCCTTGTTGTTATTATTCAATTTAGTCAAAGATGGAAACGGGAGCAGCAAAAAATGGAGGCCATGTCATCCGGAAGTGGTCAAACTTTTAGCTATGTAAATAAAACCCAAGCTGCGGCCAATTACCGCTGTGGCCTGGATGATCGAGCTCGTTGGGCGACAATGGCTCATACACTTCCTGTTAATCCAAATTATAACTATTATGTCGTAAGTATTAGTGTACAAATTGTGGAAAACAATTAAAAACTTTCTCCCGGATAAGATAATCTAAATTTAAGGCTTTCTCATCATAACAATCAACTGATTATCTTTTGATTACATGAATAGATCATCGATCTGATTTAATCGCTTCGATGGAAAAAAAATTTAAACATCTATGTGATACTCTGTTGATTATCTTGTTGTTGTTATGCCTCATTAATTGTCAATGACAATTTAACTTTCTCTCTCTCTCTCTGTTAACTCTCATAATTAAGTAAATGTTATTCTGTAAATTGTGATTTAAGAATCAAAGTGAAAGTCAATTGTGATCATCAACAAATGACAATTAAGTTTTGATGATTCTTTTGTCTCTTTTATCCCATTAACCTTAGATTAGTTTAAATATCATTTCAAGTTTGATTTTCGGGTTGATTCATGAGAGAGAAATTTTCACATTCAGATTTATCTTAATGATGATGATGATGATTAATTTGTTTCTCACTGATTGTCTCTTAATTGTTAGAATCCTGAACAATTAATGGCAACTAGTCAACAACATGTCTATGCTACTCCTGGACGAGCTCAAACACCCGATGCATTGATTAACGATGATTCCTGTCCAGTTGATTCTCGCCATTATCCAAGGCCAATTAGATCAAAATCCCGTGCATCCTTAGCCCCAGGCGCTTACTCCACAATGGTAAGACTAAATGAACCTTAAATCACACACACACACAAGTTCAATCAACTTAAAGGTGATAACAATCAATGGCGATCGTTGAATTGGTTAAACAAGAAAAAAAAGTCAATCACCACAATCAATTGGGCTAACCTTTTATTTGGGTTGATTGTTGGGATTGATATTAATTTCAATCAATCAGATTATAACCTTAATTCAAGTGAAACAGAGTATCCCAAGAGTATCATCAACAATTAGAACTGGAAAGAAAAAAGTTCAATTAGTTAATAGTAAAGTTTTGATCAGAAAAGTTAATCAATTTTCAATTCATTTCTTCATATAAATAACAATTAACAAGATCAATTTGTCTACTATTATTTACTAATTGTCAACAAATAATTTGAACTCAATGGCAACGGACAATCATTATAACCATTATTATTATTATTATGGTTGATTGATTGAAAATGTAATTGTCAACAAATTGTAAGGTCAACAATTAACGTTGATTGGAAAATTGTTTCATCAAACTGGAAAATTAAGATATTGGGAACATGTTATTAAGAAACTTAAATTGTGTCCGGTTGATTGGATATTGTTGTTGATTGCGAGGAAAAATATTTTATAACAAACACAATTTAATCTCCACAGAGTCACAATTAGATTAGTCATCATCGTCATCTTTTCTTCCGCATCATCATCTGATTGGATTCCACGGATTAACAGTTAACTTTTTTTTACCTTTCGCCATCAATGTCAACTGTTTATTACCTGTAACAAAAACCATACATCTTTATGGTGACAATCAACAATCATGTTCATTGATTGTGATTAGAAAAAAAAAGATGATTAGTTGATGATAATAATTCAATGGTTAACAGTTAACTCGATTCTGTATATTATCAGTTGTACTTTTTTTTTCATATTCAACTTCAAGTTCTTCCTGTAATCAACTAAATCAATTGATTGTTGATTGTAAATTTAAGTTCACCATCAATGATCAGTTATTCTTGATGATTTTTTTTTCATTGGATTAAAAAAAATATTCATCTAACCATGAAAGATGAAGTTAAATTTGCAATCAACTGATTGTGATCATCATATTGTGATTACTCTCTTGATTAATTGTCTCTTGATACTATTGTTTGGATTGGCTTTTTGTTTTGAAACAATATTTTGATTCAATTAATGTTACTAACAATCAGCTGATTGTTTAAACTGATTATCGACAATTTAATAAAGATTATCATGTTAATCTTCATCTAAATTATCACAATAATCATGTTTAACTAATCTTTAGTGTTGAACAATTTTTGCAATTGGTTGATTAGTCTGATTGTTATTGTATCATCAATTTATAATTAGATAACTAATTTTATCTATTAGAACACAATTTAAGGATTATATACAATTTAGAACAGTTAATTAAATGGATGATAGAATCCAATTAGATTTTGAAATTGTCTTTGTTTCATCAACCGCAAGGTAAATTTAACAATAGTTTCAACAATTAATACGAATTTAGAATCTTTAATTGTTGTGCTAATTAAAAGCAAAGATTTTAATTTAATTCTGTGGAAAATTGAAAAAAAAAGTCAATCAAGGAGAAAGTAAATTGTATTAATTGTTGTAACATTTGATAATCTGTATTAATGATTAACATGATTTCATTTCATTTCACGTTCGTTTAGAAAACTAAATCAATGAACCGATGGAGAGGGTAACAATTATCATTAATCAATTCAGTTAATCATCAAACTATTCAGACTGTTGTATGAACACATACATGAGAAACTAAAGAGATAAATTCATGATGATTAAATGGAAAGAGATGATGAAATGTTTTGAATCATCGGGATGAAATGAAGGAGAAATTATCATTAATAGTACTTAATGTATATGAAAAAAATAGTGAATTAAGTAAATCACAATTTCTTGAAATCATTATTATCATGATTAACTCGATTTTCACTTGTGGTTTCACTGAAAAAAAAGAGAGAATGAGAAAAGAGAGAAGATGAAACTTCCATGGATCGGTGATAATTCATAATGTTCTATTATTCCAACAATAGTTTTACCTGAATTAAAGGTGATTAAAGGTAAAAGGTGAGAGTGGTTTTTGTGTTTCTGGTGAAAAAGAAGAAAAAAGAAGTGATGATAAAATAGAAGTTAATTGTCGTTGGTAATTTCTTGATGAATGATCAACATTCAGGGGATATAATTTTCAGTCAAGTGTCGATAGGGATCATTAAGTTTAGAGCTTGAGAATATGCGGTTTTTAGATTATTCTGGTTTCATGATGATTTCCTGTCTCACTCACCTTTATTTCTTCATTTTTTGCTCTCTCTCTTTTTATCTTCATCATTACCATTTTCCATCATCTGGTCTTTCTCTTTTTATTTTTCTCTTCCTGTTTACAGGGAAGACAAGCAAGTAACCTTAAACACTGCGAGTTGTTGTTGTTTCTCATTATTTATACTTGTTGTTCCATCTTCATGTTACTCTGCTTTTCACCTTGGAATGTAAGTTTTTCCTCTCAATGTAATGAGAAAGTTAAATGAGAGAATTAAGTTTAACATTGAAAACATTAAATTGTCCAGACTTGGCCAATGAAAATGCTGATGGGGTAATAACAATTAACGTTACAATCCGTGTTATCAAAATATTAACCTCTCTTAAAACAGCATGTTAATCATTCATTCAGTGTTGATATATTAACTCATTCATAACTGTAAGAATTTCAATATTTAACCAACGGATAATGTAACATGGTTTCTTTGAGTTAATATTTCACGATCAACAGGAGCACAATTAAATTAAACCAAATCAACCTCGAAGCCAAATGGTAAACATTATAATAGATAAACCAAACCACCGGCAATCAGAACAATGAGAAACATTACACATGTCATTAGATTTAATTACTAGAATAAAGTAACATTTTCTTTTCTCTCCTCCCGAACATCATGCAGGCATTAAGAGTTTGATTAGGCCTAAAAATGGAAGAAGAAAAAAAATGAAAATGATTAGTAATTAGAAGTAATTATATTATATGTACAATTGAAGATATTGTATTACATGAAAATGTAAATTATTCTAAAAGTTGAATTCATGAGATGTGTTATCTTTTTCAGGCCAATCTATGAATCCAAGTTTTCTTTCGTATATCTAATTATTGATTGGTGTTATTATCGTTATTATTTAATAATAATATCAAAAATTAGAGGGAACGTCTACTATAAATTTTCAAGTTCAATGTACTGATATTCTTGATTTTTTTTTCTCTTCTCATAATAGAAGAGAAGATAAAAATTCTTCTCTCTCTCTCTCTCTGCCAATAGGCACCTTTTTTTTTACTTACCTTTTCTCTAGATTGAAGAATTTTTCAACCTGACTTTCAACCTGATCAATTCAGAGTAAACCGGTTTATCCGATGGATCAAGTATTACCTTTAAATCTCACATCTCTTATTTCATCTCTTCATCTTCATCAAAAATTTTCTCTCTCAGCATATTCACTATGCTATTATTAATATTAGGTAGCTCTTCTGTAGGTAGTTGGGGTACATTTTTTTAACACATTAACCATCAAGGTATATATTATACTCGTTGTGTGATTATAAAGGGAGAGAGAGAGAGATTATTTATTGGAAGAAAGTAGAATTTCTTACCTTGGAGAAGAAGAAAAAAAAGAGAAAAGAAAACATTGAAAAAAAATGTTCTCTTCTTTTTCGTTTTCTGATTAGTTTGAACAGGTTGAGATCACATTGATTTTACACAGATACAAAAAGAATTTAATTGTTGACATTAACGACAATTTAATTTGTTCGTTAAATTTTCCAAAAAATGATTAAATAAATCACTTTGATAAGAAAGAAAAGAGAAAATTTTGTCTACTCATCAGCTGAAAATTTGGAGGGAAATTAATTATCGATTCGAATTTCGAATTTTAATCCTTTACCGGATAAGCGGCGGTTCGGTTATTCTGATAACCGTTTTCTTTTTTAATTCTAATTGATTTAAATTCTCATTTTAATTGTTATGGTTTTAATTCTTTAATCAATGACAGAGATTAATCACCGAGTTGATTTTCTTTTGGAAATAAATTTGCGTGATCATCTGTTTTCTCTCTTTGATTAGGTGAGAGAATTAAATTAATTTGAATTAATTCTCCATCTTTTTTTATCCTTGGAACTTGCCTTATGTTTTCTTCACGTTTTCTTTTTTTTCTTTACCTGTTGAATTATTGTTATTATACAATATTGTTCTTTCTTTTAACCTTCTCCTACCCTTTTTACACCCTGATTGACCTGTTGGCTTGAATATTCCATTATAATTGTGTACATTCTAATGAAATTACTCGATTCTATGATTTAGAGAAAAAACCAGTTTCCGGATTCCATGTTTTCTTTTCTCTAACCCTAATACTCCAATCACCAGCTCGATATCAATCAATAGTTTCTTCATTTCAATCTAATTTCTACTCTAAAATCAACAATCAACACATTTTCATGGTTCCATAAAAATGTATTATACTTTATTAACCTTTTTCTAAGTTAGTAGTGTATCTCCATCATTATTGACAAGTTGACAAAAGAATGAAAGAAGAACCTATTGAAACTTACCTGAATCTTTCATGGAACAAAATAATTCAGGTAATTTATGTTACATTTAACTACTACAAAGTAACAATTAGTTAACTGACATGTAAATTACTTGCTAGTCTCTTATAACCATAACCTTAATAGAAACGTAAATATTAACTATCAATCTACATTTTAAATTCTAAATGTAGGTTTATGGTTTGAACGTATCTCTCTCTCTCTCTCTCTCTCTGATCAGATTAACCATTTAATCCCATCAAGTTAATCTTTTCCAATTAACCTTTTTTTCCTTTTGATTTCTCTTGATTTAGATTATAAGTTAATATACATAATATTTACTTTAAAGTGTATCAATGGTTCTGGTTGTTGTCGTGTAGTTGAGCTGATCAACTAATTTGATAATTTAGTTTTTCTGTCATGTGTTGGGTCAATTTGGAATCCATTTTAAACTCCCACGGTTGTTTATCTTAATTGTTTGTAATTTAACCTGTTCCATGTTGTAATCTTGATGACCATATGTTTATATATGGACAACAAGAGCATCTGATTGTTTGCGATCACGAAACCATGATGGTCAAGAGACGGACACTCCTGTTGTCCAGTTAATCATCTTCTAATGTTAACGGTTGACTGCGAATCCATAACCAAGGTTGATAATGATGATAATTATCATTTTCGCTCTTCCCTTTTGTGAAAATGTTTCCATTCTGTAGCAGATTAACTCAAGATAACCCGTTAATCCTTTCAGCTGATTTTGGTTTCTGACAACAACAATTTGGATCAACCATCAACATCATCAAGTGTAAAAGGATCTCAAAACATGAAAAGGTTTAAACAATTAACTCCGGGAATCAATTGGTGTTGTTACTGTTGTCCAAATCTCTCGCACAATTAAATTAAATTGGATTGATCACCATCAAAAACGAGCCATCATCTTTAACTTTAATCTCTTATTTTTTTTCTCTCTCTCTCTACAAAATCTTATTCAACTTTCTCTCTCACTTCCTTCTCATCATTCTGGTCAATTTACTTTTCATTAACTGGACTCAAACTCTCACCCACTTAATCTCACAACAACACCCAAATTGTTAACTTAATCAATTCTAAATCCTCACTAATCACTAATTCACACCATGAACACACACACACACACACACACACACACACACACACACTGGAAACATTTAACAATCATCTATTGTTGATGTTGATGGTGATGAAAAAATAAATCATCAGATAAAGATGATGAGATTATCAAATGCTCAAGATTCAACAATAACTTATTGTCAATAAGTAAATGAACTGATGGAGATGGAGAAAAAAAAAATGAAAATTTTCATCATCATCATAGTTAATGTATCAATAATTCATTGACAGGAAGCTCATCATCATCATCATCATCATCTTTTTTTCATCATTTCTGCTTCCTCCTCCTTGTCTTGTTAACCAACATCATCCAAATCAATTTCATCATCATTTCCATCATCAGGAGACCTCCAGCATCGCTTGTCTAATAATCTACTGATGTGACCTTGAAGAAACAAAAGATCAACTTATCTTCATCATCTCTTTTTTTTTCACCTCATCACCTTGCCCTTGAAATATAATCATCATCTTTTGATGATGATGATGAGAATCAAAAAGATACCTCGTTGTGTGTGTTGATGATTAGATGAAAACTAACAAAAAAAACAAGAGATAATATTGTTAATCACTATTGTCCATATCAAGGTTATCCTCCCTCAATTCATTTCTTCATCACTTTTTATCTAATTGTGATTCTTTGTCCCTCCCTAACTCCCATTGTCCAGTGAATCTTTTTCTCCATCATCATCCCAATGATGATGAAAGAAGATGAAAACTTTTTTCTCAACACTTTTCCATTATTCTTTTCCTCTTAATCCATCATAATCATCAAGCGAATCTTTTTTTTTCTCCTTCTAATTTGATTAACCATTTGATCAATTTATAAGATTTTCCAATCATCACCATTGGTCAATCAATACTGACCTTTAATATTGATTGTCTTTTGATTGTTGATTTGATCACTTGATTATAAGTTTCTTTTTATATACTTGAACAATTCAAGTTTCTCGTCTTTACGACAATTAGCTAATTTGATTATAACTTGAACTTGTTGCAATACGTTAATTGTTACAATTGTTGTGTTCTAATTTGTTATGTTAATTGCTGTTAATCATCACGATCTTGATGAAGAGACAAATGGTAATAATAATAATCATTTAAAGTTAATTGCGTTACTTTAATTATTATCATAGTTGATCAAGTGAAACAATGATTCTTACAATTAGATGATAATTGTAAGATTGATTATACATCTTTAATTGTTCATCAACTGACTAATTAACTAAATTAATCTTTACACTTGTTTCGTGTTTACAGTTTAGTTAATCTTTTAATTGTGATCATATCTATTCAACTCTTTTCCATTGATTGTTATCCAGTTTTTCATGATTACATTTTTTTCTCTCTCAAATTCTTACAATTTATTAATTATTTTCTCTTTCTCTTCTCATCAGGGATATGGAGCCGGAAGTGTTTACAATGAAACGGAATTTTCAACACGAGAAACAATTTACACTCCATCACATGTAATCATCCCACCGCGGACGAAATACTCTCCTTACAATTAACTGGACACACGAAATCAGGAAATGGACTTTAATTGTTACCATTAAATGTTTTTTCTTTTCTTTTGTCAACATTGGAAACGATCAATGGAAAAGTAAATTAGTAAATTGTCCAAAAGAGGGCAAATGTGATTTTCCAAGAAAAACAAAGTGATTAAGGAAACCGGAAGAAACGATTCACCATCTTTTTTTTTGTTTCATCACAATTTGGAAGCAATCAGTTAATTGTTAATCATAATCTCTGTTTGATTACAATTGCCTCAAGTTAATTATGTAAAAAGATACCCAACTGATTTATATTATACACAAGAAGCTTCAATTTGTGATAGTTAATCATTTCCATTTGTTTGATTGTTTTGTTTCTGATAATTAATTTGTGGTTAACAATAACTTGTCAACAATTAATTTATCTGCCTAGAGATGTAACTTTGTTAACTAATTACTATTATGTGAAACAAATCAATCAAACGAATGGTCAATTTAATTGATTGTTTTTCCTTTTCCTTTTTCACTTTCTCCTTATTCCAAATGATTAACTAATTAAATCTCTCTCTCTCTCTTTCTTTCGGGTTAGCAAACAATTAATGTTGAAAATCAGGAAACTGTTTAATTTTGTATCAAAGTGATTTATTTAATTACTACTAATTAATCCTACGTCAATTGTTTTGTAATTTTAATTACTTGAAAACAATAACTCTTATTGATTGTAGATGAAAAATTGCATTTTTATATTGAATTAAAATAATTTAATTGTTCACAATTAGTAATCTAATTGAGATGACAAGAAAATTCAATCCTTTATATCAAACTAATCATGATTAACTTAATTGCTACATTTTGATTGTGTGGGTTGTTGATATATAATTTAAATAACTTTTTGATTAACATCTAATCAAGTTGATTGTTACATTTACTAATCAACTACTATCCTTGGTGATTAACTAACTTGTAATAATCAAGTGTTGATACTTGAAAATTAATCTAATTGCTTGATTATTAACAATTTCAAAGGTTCAATGTTGATTATTTGTCGGAAATGATAAACAAATTAGTTAATCATGATTAACGATTAATCCCCATAATTGGAGTTGAACTTACATATGAAAAAGTTAAATTGTGATCAAGTTGATTGTGATTATCAAGCTAAATAGTTATTGAGAAACCAGTTTATCAATTTACAGGAACCAACAATCAACATTAAATTATCAACAGAAAAATTTGATTCACTTGAATGGTTTAATTAAGTATCATTTGATTTGCAACAATTTAGCAAATTGTTGGAAAAGTATTATTAATATAAATCAACTTGAAACAACAACTAAATTGTCCAACAATTAACTGGAATACTTGGGAAAATGATTCTCATGATTTATCTATTATCCTTGATTATTACCAATTAAATGATTATCATTTAATCGTGATCAAGTTAATCCATAAGTAAAACATGATAACCCATGAAATTGATTGTTAAAGATTAAGGAAACTAAATCAAAAATGATCAACACGAATCAAACTAATGTCAAGGAATCAACTCTCAATAAAACTATTAGTTGATCAATAATAAGAAAGGTTAAATTCATGTCAATTTAATGACAATAATGATCAACCAATTTAATTGTTGAAATAATAGATAAACAATCAAACATTTTCTCAATTCTCTCAACTTAAATTCCCCATAAAATTAATAAAATATTTTTAGAATCAATTTATCAACATGATGAGCCGATATTCATCTTCAGGTAACAGAAACTTCAATTCGTTCGCCCTCAGGCCAAAATCGACTTTTCAACCTGTCGACATTTTTTCTTCCCGATTCCATCCTCATCCTCATCCTCATCTTCATCTCTCTCTCTCTCTCTCTCTCTCTCTCTCTCTCTCTCTCTCTCTCTCTCTCTCTCTCTCTCTCTCTCTCTTTCATTTCTCTCTCTTTTCGTTTGTTCATCTTCTTTTTCGACTCTTTCTGTTTACCATAAAGAGAATGTGCTTTTTTTAACAAGACCGGTTAATGGTCAATGATCTTAATCATGATTAGTCTCCTTCTTAACTATCGACCAATATCCATTAATAACATCATCAAAAATCTTCAATTGATCAACATTAAAAATCAACAACAATCAACGTCATTTAATAGTAAAATCATCAACCTCTTCTTGTTGTTTTCCAATTATGAGTCTGTGATTGTTTACCTTTTTTTTGTTCATTTTTCTCTCTCAATTAAATTGTCTTAATTGTCGTCTTTCTTCATTAATCTATTACTTGGTGACCCCAATAATATCCAGAATCCAAGGTAAGTGTTACAATTAATTAATTCCATTTGAATGTATATATAATTAAAATTTCAATTTCTTTCCTTTTCCAATGTTGATAATCCTCTTTGTTTATGTTTCTCTTTCTCTGTCTATTTCTCTGTCTTCATTTGTTGTTGTTACTCTTTTTTTCTTACCTTCGAAGACTTTTTATTAACAATCAATATTCATGTTTTAATTGTGATTCAATAATCTACAGTTAATTATTATCATTGATTAATTGACGTCAATTAGGATAAATCAATTTGTATTGAGGAAAATTTTTCCTTCTACAAAATGTAAACAGTGAATTATTGTTAATCTTGGTTGTTAAGATTTTTTTTCCTTTTCCTCTTTGGATCATCAATTTTTTCTTAATGTGATTTTCTTGAGAGATTTTTAATTATTTCTAATTAAACATTTATGGAAATGATTTAACTTGCTATGTAAATTGATTCTCTTCTGATATCGTTTTCTCTTCCTTTATTGTTGATGAAATTTCGTCATCAAAGGAAAAGGAGTTGAGGTAAAAACGAGAGAAAGTTAAATGGACACAATTTACCTCTTGAGAATCACTTGATAGTTAAGTGATTATCAGGTGAAGTCTGAGTTAATTGTCGTGTTATCCTTTCTCTCTCTTAATTGTGTCGATTGATTAAGTATCGAGAAGAGAAAAACCAATCGAAATTCTGATCGCGATTCACACAATCGCTTTTCCATCCATTGGGTTAATTCACAATTCGTTTGTTAGTTGTTGTTATTTCCTTCCTTTTGTTTTTGTCGTTTAATTTTCTCATTGAATTTGTCATTCCAATTTCGATTTGTTCTCTAATCTTTTTTTTTCTTCTTCTTCTCTTCCACTAATAGATGTTTACAATCCATCAATTGAAACGTTTACTCTCAGGAATCAATAGAATGTCTGAAACACTCATGGTAGAATCAAAATCTCCCGTTACCTCAGTCGCATCTAAAGCGATCGCAGTGGATCAAGAGGAAGCTTTAATGAACGAAATTTGTATTACCGTCAATGAGAATGACCTTGCAATCGGATCTCGTACCAAAAGGGATTGCCATCTAATGGATAATATTGATAAAGGATTATTACATCGAGCCTTTAGTGTGTTGCTTTTCAACAAAAAGGGTCAATTCTTGTTGACCCAAAGAGCTTCAACCAAAGTCACTTTTCCCAATTATTATACGAATGCTTGTTGTTCACATCCATTGTTTACACCCTTGGAGAGAGAGGAAAAGGATTGCCTCGGGGTTCGTCGAGCAGCTCAACGTAAATTATTTCAAGAGCTTGGAATTGACCCAACAACCATTACCCTGAATGATATTCATTATATCACCCGAATACTTTATAAATCACCTTCACCCAATGAACCAATTTGGGGTGAACATGAATTGGATTATATTTTAATTATCCACAAAGATGTTGATATAAATCCTAATCCAAATGAAGTGAGAGAAGCCGTTTTCTTGGATAAAGATGATTTAAGTCCTTATCTTGGTAAGTGAACAATAAAACAATTTCCCAAATTTAATTGTGAGACTTAGGGTTGAATTTAATTCCTAATCAATTGACTGATTGATTGATTATCGAAGTGATTTCATTAATTTTTTGGAAAGACTGAAAAACTGATTCGATCATACAAATTTCCAGAAAAAGTTACAGTCCAATCTTCAGATTATGAATATATGATTAGAGTAATTCCAATAACTAATTACTATTGTTAATTGTTTTCTCTTTTGTTGATTAGAACGAAAAAAGAAAGAGGGTTGGCCAATATCCCCTTGGTTCCAGTTAATCCATGATCGTTTTCTTTACAATTATTGGGATAATCTGTCAAATTTGGACAAATTTAAAGATCACAAGACGATTCACAATTTCATTTGATTGCGTTCTCAGTTTTCACCATGATTAGATTAATTTGTTGTTTCTATTACCCTGAATTTCAATTGATGCCGAGCACGGACAAAGCTCAAACCTAACAACTCCAACTGTTAATCTAATCCAACACAATCAACCAATTTAAATCAAAATTTTTCTACTTATAAACTTAAATATAAGTGAATTTATATATTAATATATAAATAGTTAATTAGTAAACGCTATCGGCCTTTTACCAATTGATTATAATCATTAACTTAAATTAATCAGAAATCATGATTAATGAGAGTAGTGAAATTAAATTCTAGTTTATTCAAATTATATGAAAAAAATATTTCTATTAATACAAATGATTATATTAATTGTACTAAAACTTTTTTCATATCAAATCATAGAAAGTGATTCAATGATTTGAACTAATCACCTCTCAATAAGAATTGGTAATTAATGTTTAATTGTTGGTACGAAAACGGCCAATTTGTATATCTGGTTAACTTGATTGATTGGGAAAATTTAGCTGTAAATTAGTAAATGGAAATTAACGGACAATTAACCCAGATGAATAACCAATTGATTTGGTTAATCAACGAAGCCCAAGAAAATTATCTCAATACAAAGATAATTTCTTATGGAAGCCAAATAACAATTAGTTTTGTTTAAACAATAACATAGAAGATGATCAATAATCAAGAAAGATAATGAGGAATAACAATAACAAAGTAATTAATTAATTCTTGAGAATATTCTGTTAATCATCTTTCATCATCATACATAACATTTGTTGTTATATCTTCCTGATGTACGACACAATTGGTTGACAATTTTCTCTGACACAATCAACGTTTATAATCCAGACGCTTTTTCAATTTTTCTCTCTCAACTTGCTCTCTCTCTCTCTCTCTTCCTTTTTATCTTCATCTTCATCTCCATCGTCTTTTTCTATGCATCATCATCATCTTTTTTTCCCTCATCGAATAAACTAGAGTTGAAGCGCAAAATTTACTTCTTTCTTTACTCCAATTTCTATTTTTAAAATAAGAAACAGTTTTCATCTTCATCTTTCGCTTGTATCATCTTCATCTGCATCTTCATCATCATCATCATCATCCTGTTGGCTTTAGTTAGTAGGTTGGAAAAATATTTATCTTTCATCCTCTGTGAGCTTAAATCCTCCATCTTGTAATCGTGATCGTTTATCAATCTCTGTCCATTTGTGGTCACCTTTGAGTTATCCAGTGTTTAACTTTTCATCTTGATTGTTCATCTTGATAACAGATCAGTTGATTCAGTTTGGACTTTTCTTTTCAATTGGTTAGGTCAATTGTTTTTACAATGGTAACTTATACTAATCCAAAAGCTTTAAAATGGACTTTGTTGGTGACCAATACAACTTTTTTTCTCTTGACCATTTGTCTCCTTTTATATACTCTAATTGATTATGTTGGATTTGAAAACGATTGGCATCCTTACCAAAGTGATGATTATGCTGATGATAATGATGAAAGTGATTTAATTGATGGTGATGGTCAATTAGATAATAAACCTTTAAACTCTGTTTATCAATTTCCTAGTATTGGATCGACATCGGTGAGAGTGATTATACCCTCCATCACCATGATTGTTGCAATTGTAGGTATAATTGCAGCCAATGAAGAGAAATGTCGACTTCTCAATATAAACGGTTATTTGTGTTTCTTGTCGTTTTTCATCAAATATCTTTTCATCTTTGCCTCTCTACGAATGGCCGGTCTATCTTCTCCCTGGACATCTCTGGGATCGGTAATATTTCCCCTTTATCTTGCCATTGGATTATTCGAATTAGTTCTTGGAATGTCATCTTGTCAATTATCTTCTATTCTTAAACGTGGTGGTTCCGTTAATCCTCGGATCATTAAGCTTCCAGTCACCTGATTATAAGAGAATAGAAAACAAAATAAGAGAAATTAAATCTAAACCATCAACAGAATCTTGTGAGATTTTTATATTTGCTATGATCACTTCAACTATCGTCAAACAGCAATTTGAGAAACAACTTTTTTTTATATTCTAATCACCGAGAGGAAAAAAAACTCATTACAATTTATCACTAACGATTTTGTTGGAGCCATTTTTTATTCAAATATATGTAACTGTTAATGATATTAATTCTCACTTACCGTTAAGGATAAAATTCGATTTGATGATTGTCACAATTGTCCTAAATTTCCAATTTCACTAAGTGAATCAATAGATTCAGAAATTAACATCTAAAGAAATGAAGAGCGAATAAAATTTAAAAGAAATCAAGGTTAGTTGTTAGATTAAGATTCCAAATCAATTGTTATGTTTTGTCCAATTGCGAAAAAAGAAAACGTCATGAGATGACCACAATTTACCTCTTATTAAATTACCTTCCAAATGTGAACCAATTAATTAAAAGTTAATCTTCCGCAACTTTAATTGTAATCAGAAAATGAAAGAAACAAAATTAATTTTAAAAAGAAAAATAAACAACAAGAAAATTGAACCAATCAGAAAGCGAGAAAAATTGAAGCGCGAATTTCGTTTTCTTTGATTAATATTCTAATTACAATTAAATTGAATCTTCTTTTACAAATAATTAAATAAATTGATTCTAAATTGTTTATATTGTTGAAGAAAAACTAAAAGCAAAGGTTAATATAATTGTTCTATCGACACTTATCAATGTTTTCCATGTTTTCTAATCAAATAACGTTTTGTTTTTATATCAAGAATCTTGTTGTTAGGTAATGGATATGATGAAATCTAAATCAATGATGATGATTAGACAATCCAAGTTAGTGATTAAAAGGACAACAATCAACATTTGCATAGATTTTTGTTGTTTTTGTTATTCTAAAGGAGAGAAAGTTTCAAATTAACTATCGATCCTAATCGAGAGTTCGAAAACTTTTTCTCGGCGCAAGACTTTCGATTCTCATTATTATTGTTCTTCTCCATCATTCTCACTGTTTCTCATTCGAAATCTACTCCCACCTTTCTCATCTTCATCTTCATCTTCCTAACGATCATTTCACCTACGAACAGGTAGTTAATAGTAATGAAAAGAAAACCAAACCAATAACAACAATTAATTTCTTTTGTGTTTCCAAATTGTGATTAACCTAAACATCCAACACACATTGTAATTTTTTCCTTCTTCTTTATAACAATTTATTCATTCTGTGAGTTAATTAACTTATACCAAATAGTTACACTGATCATCAAAAATAATCAATAATCAACAAGAATTAAAAATTTACTCGGTGAAGAGAAACAAATTTTTCCAATCAATTCAATTTACTGATACATCAATCATCTAACCATCACATTAATGAAAACAATTTAAAATAAAAGTCCAAGGAATTGGATTTTTGTTTAATTATTTTTGGAGAGATTTAACTTTCTAATTAACTTAATTGGTGTTCTTCAAATTAAATCAAAAATGGCCTGGGCCTTGTATATGTTTCGAGAAACTTTCCAACCCGAAGATCCTCAAATCCTTGATTCTCATATTAAACCCGAAACTAAATTAACTTTCGTTGATTTTGTGCCTAATGCTGTTGAACGAACATCAACTGCAATTTATCAAACTGCAGAAATTAAATATCACCCATTCAGGTAACAATTAACTAATTATCCAAATCGTAATCCAAAAGGTCCGAGACAATTTAACGAAAATCAATCCAATTAATTTTTCCGACGCAATCAAAATCATTACACTTCTCTCTCTATCACTCTCTCAAGTTAATTAATCATCTTCATGGTAAAAATAAATCACAATTTAATAATTAATTGCATTTTCTAGTGAATTAACAATCAATAATAATCATAAATTGTGTTCATTTCCTCCAAATACACTTAATAATTTAGTACAATTATCCAATTCCTTCTCAATCAATTTCCAACAATTTATATTAATATTAAATCAGTAAAATTCTGAAGCTGAATCAATATTATAATATTGCAAATTAAGAAAATTAAGTGAATAGATAATAAATCAGAACAATTTTACAACAATTTAATTGTTCACAAGAGACAAGAGCTTAACTGTAACAATTAAGAAAAATTCTCATCACAACAATTTCTACATAAATTTGACTTTTTTAAAAAGTTTTTTTTCTGTTGAATTGAATTTTAATTTTCTTCCTCCAGTTAATTGTTATAATCACACCCCTTCTATCATTAATTGATTACTGTTTCTTTAATCAAACAATCGGTTTATCTTGATTGTCAATAATTGTAAGGTAATCGAATTGATTTTGATAATATTTTCTATTCTTATTGTTTCAACCCTTTCATATTATTTTCCCATACATTTACTGTTGATATCAACTGGATTTGTCTCTCTGTCTCTTTGTTGATTATTGATTATAATCAATTGTTTTTCTATATCCAATCTTAATTTTTTCTTCTTCAGGGAAATGATTTTATTGGCTAACGATTGGTTAGCTGAGAATCCATCATGGAGAGCGATTAATTGTGAATCGGTTACCCTTTTATTCAAAGCCAACGACACTGGAAACCTCGAGCTAAGGCCAATAGACGCTTCCTTTTATATCTATGGTTCAGCTAAACAGCACATTGTCAAAGCTTTGAGGTAATTTTCTAATTAGTCACATTTAAGTTAATTACTTTCAAATCTAATCAACTGATTAACTTCATGTATATACAACGTGTCATCTTTAAATTAATCATTAGGCTCGAAATGTCCTTTACGTGTTAATAGATTTAAAAGATTTTCTTTGTCAATGTTTTTCCTCATGCAACATTTAGATTATCATTCTGAATACATAATACATTTGATATTGTTTTTAATTACTTTTTATTTAGATTATTTAGATTATTTGGAACTTTTTTTTTATTCTTTTATTTTTGATTAATTGATATTCATTAGATTATGGATTAAACGTAAGCCTATTACAGGCGATGAAAGTGATAGTTATGGAGGAGAGACTATCGAACCACAGATATTGGATTATATTGATATTATTCCCGAGAATCGTGGTGATGGTGATTCGTTTTGTCCCAAATTCGAGAATCTTAATCAGTGTGTTGAAAGGATCAATAAGATGACCCAAGAGAGGAAGATAAATGGAACCATAATTACCATTGAAAGTCTTAATTGTGAAGCGGAAATCGATTGGAAAATTAATCCTGAACAAACGTTAAACTTTTTCACCAACAAAACGGTCACCATAATACGAATTTTCTATGAGAAAGGTCCACCGAATCAACTGGAAATAGGTAAATTAATTACTATTAATGAAGAGGAAAAAAATCAAATTCTATTAATAGATATCCGGCTTTTCTCAGTTTCCTTGTAAACAAAATTACCCAACATGAAATTGATTCATTTCAACTGATTAACCATTTCAATTGAAACAATCAACAAGTAATCTAACCTTATACACTCTCAAACCATTGGTAATTATTATGATTAACTTTCAATTGTCAACAGTTATTACATATTATTATTATTATTATTGATCGATTGTGTAGTCATTCCCTGTGAACAATTTACCGAATTGTTGATAATCATTATATGAATTACGAAACTTTTATCTAATAATAATCTACTTTTTTTGCTCACATAAAGATGAACCTCGATTATAAGATTAACTATCATTTACTCTTAGTGACAATTAATGATCTAAATCAAGTAGGTTGATGACCAGTAGTATTAAATTACCTATGAAACTGGTCAACTAAACGTCTAATCATATCATCTAAATTGTTTTTCCTTGATTATTATTGATAATCTTGACCATCACTCGTTAACCATTAACATAGATTACAAGTTGAAGATATTTATGATTGATTAAAGTGTATAAATTAACCATTTGTTGTTGAGTCAATCAATTAATTGTGTTGTCTTTTATTTTAGTCGATTCTAATGGTAGAAAAAGTTTTTAATTGTTCCAATTGTTTTTTTGTATTCTTTTCCCAGGAATTAAAGATTTCGTTCCTAAGAATATCTCTGGTGGTGGATTCTTTAAACGCCCCAAGTTCGAGGCTTTCTCATTGGTACTAACTCGAGCAACTAGATGGTTATCAGAAAATCCCGACATCTCCCTACGAAATGCACAATCATTAGATATTAAGCTTAAATCACGTAAGTTAATTTCTTACAATTAACGTGAATACATAACAATCACCGTTTTCTAATTGATCTACTAGTCGGTTCGTGCGATTTAACCTGTTCAATGGCCTACACGGAGCACGGTGATTATTTGAAAATATTTCGAATCGCATATACCAAATGTCCTAAATCGCAATCAACATTGTCACTTAATCTGAGCAATGCAATCATGGAAACTAAATCATTAATTCTTGGAAGTAAATTGTTCATGCCAATCAAAAAAGGTGAATCATTAACAGAGATTAGACAAAGAATGGAAGATTGGATCAACACAATTCCAAAAGGTGAATATTAATTGAATGGAATTGTAAATTGTGATCAATTGATTGACAGTTAATCTTTTCACAGACCAAGTTAACGGTGAGATTAACCGGCCAATTGAAATTCTGAGCGCGGAAACGGTCGAGGTTTTCTGCCGAAGTGATGACAACGAACTCGAAAAGGCCGTTGAAGATACATTTCAATACAATCGATTCGGCACCAAAAATGGTTACATTTTCATCTCGCTTCGAGTTTATTTCGGTCTACCTGGTTTACCAAATTTACTAATTTCTCGAGTTGATGATAATCTAATTCAGTCCATGTCACTGACCAACGATAATGGATCATCTTGTAATATCTTATGATTAATTGATCGAAACTTCATTTAATTTAATGAACACTTTTTTTTCATATTCGAGATAATAACTAATTGATTGATAATATTGATCGCAATTAATATTACTCATTATTACATATTCATATCACTCTTGGATTTAAATCAGAATCAATTTGTTTTAGTTTGAAAAACTTTTCCCCCTGAAAACTGATTAATTGATTTGATTTACTTATTATTACAATTAACTGTTGACTCTCATTTGTAATATATAATCAAATTAATTGTATGATATTGTATCCATAAAGAAACAGATAAACTTTCAATTGTTATCATTATTTGAATAAAAATCAATCGTTAATCATTATGGAAGTGATTTAATTATTGAAGAGAAAATCAATTCTAATCAATCAAATCAATATCTTAACCTAGAGACAAGAAATTAAAATAAAAATCAAATTAAATGTAAATATTTAGGTAATTGGATGCGAAGAGACAAAAGAAAATCAATTGTTACAATTAAATCTAAATTGTGATAATTTAGAAAATATGTTAACAATTGGAAAGAATCAATAAAATCTATTAATCAATTGTTTCTCATTTTGTGACGATTTTATCATTGTAGATAATCAAAAGGTAACAATTAAGATAATCATGGAAACGGACAATCAACAATTAAGTTGAGCATTTAGAAATCAACTGTTAATAGTTAATCATTTCTTCAATCACCGTGACTTTCAAATAATCAAATTAATTACTAGATAATAATGATTATCATTATGAAAGTATATCGATCAATATAAATTGCGTGAAAATAAATTGAAAACAATCAAGATAATCAATTGACTAACAATTAACCAACACCAATAGATTAATAGTAAGTGATGGGTGATTTTCATTTAGATTCAAGTTAATTAAATCAGTAATTAACAATTAACTGGAAGCTTGAAGTTGATCTTGATTATAACGGTAAAAGTTTAAAATTGACACAAAAACAAAACAATTAGTTAATTATTAAGCAAAATGGTTGACCGATCATATTGTTATCATCTAAATGATGATCAACTAAATTAATGGGAAATAAGTAAATTAACTAAATCAAAGTGGAACATGAAAAAACAAAAATTAATAAATAACAACAACAATTAACCTTTTCCAATTGGAGCAATTTAGTTAATCATTTGCAGAGAAATTTTAATCACACAGATAATTAATGATAGTCTTTCTTCATTTTACTGACCAAAGTGGTCAAGAGGCTTAGGTCAAGTGTACTAATATGTTAATTGGATAATTATTGATCTAAATTGTTGTAATCATGAACCCAGAAAACCATGAAAATCCCAAGGACGAAATCGAGGATTAGAACTTTTTTTTTCTCGTTCTATTGAAAAAATGTTCACTTTCGTTTCCCAGGTAATATTATGATGATATTAATGATGTGAATTATTGATGATAAAATAATGTTAATTGTGGAAAATGAATTGTCATGATCAATAATTGTGAAGGTATTTGTCAACCTAATCACGAATCATGACCAATGTTAATAAATAGTTTTCTCCTATTCTTTGCTCTTCAGAAAATCATCAATTCTGCTTCTAATTGTCTGATGGACAATTAACAAAATTTTGTTAATTGTTCAATCTAAATGTAAACAAAATTCGAACGACTTTTAATCAACTTATTCATATTTACATGTAATAAATAGATTGACAATTAACTGACAAGATGAATCGACCTTCACAGAAAAAGGTGATTGTTACTTGTTGGTTGACCAACTTAACCTTTAATCTTAATCCTAATCTCTTAATCTTGAAGTTTTTTTAACCTTTTCTCCTCTTTTTTATTTTAACTCTTTCCTCTCTCTCTCTCTCTCTCTCTCTCTCTCTCTCTCTCTCTCTTTCTTTCTTTCTTTCTTTATCTTTTGCTCTCTCTCATTAATTTTTTTCCATCTTAAGTTGGACAAAAGTATCAACCTAAGCACAATTTATACTCCATTTGATTAGTGAACTTCCAACATGGTGACAATTACAATTAATCAACTGTCTCTTTTTCCATGGTTAATATTGATCATTTTCTCGTCACAATTTGAGGTCAACGAAGCAAGTAAAGCCGAAGTTCTTCAACAATGTGAGTCTTTGACATTGTTTTCTCCTTTTTGGAAATTTTAATTTTCTTTTCTTCCCTTAGATTGGCTTTCTAATTGTTTCCTGAAAGGATATGCTTTGAAAAATATCGAAACAGTCAACTGTAAATCCTTAGATTTGCCAAGTAACCTGACCAGTGTCAAAGAGTTTGAAAGGAATGCCTTGGATTTTATCAATTAGGTTGTGAGTTCAGTCAGAAAAGTCTCTTCTGTAGCATCGGTGTTTCCAAAGTCATTTCGGACTATCCTCGAAATGCAAATTTCTCTTGCGCTGAGATCGCCATTCTCCAGGATGAAACCAATGTGGCCTTTGAATGTTGTTCTACCTGTAAGGTGGGCATAATCGATGCACCTCTTAAAGATAAATGTGAGATTAAAAATTTATCCAGTCTCACCGAAAGAGCTCAACAACGATGCTGTGAAGTCCATACCGCATTCACTAGAACGGGTAAGTTTAATTGTGAAATTTTTCGCCTTTTTATTAGACTTTTAAATGTAAATTTTGCGTCTCTTTGATTTGTAGCGAGTTTTAATTCAAACTCAGTGGTATCTAATTTAGTACCTTCATCGGATAATATCACAATCGATGAGATATCAACGATTGCACTGGAAAATGATATCAAGATCAACAAATCATTAGCATTCAAATTGGACAGTTCAACTACAACAATCAGTCCAGTCTTGCCAATAGAAGATGCCACTTCGAAAGATAGTACAATACCCACCACGGCCACGAGTGAGCCTGAACTATCAACTGATCAACCAATTATCAACAATGAAACAATAAATAATGATTCAAAATTGGTTAACAACGGTTCGACCACAAGTCCAGTAACCGAAACTCCAAAAATGGCCCATGAAACAGTGTCTTCACCAAAAAGTACAATCGAAACTACAGAGTCAACAGCCTCCACCTCAAGCTCAACGTCGATAGCAGCTCGTAGCTCAGATTGTGACCCAGGTTATCACATGTCTGGGTTTTCTGATGAATGTGAGGATACCGATGAATGTGAGGAAATAGCTGATGTTTGTCCACAGGAAAAGTGCTTCAACACCAAGGGAAGTTACAAATGCTGTCCACTTGGAACTGAAATGGACTCGAAAAATGAATGTATTTACATTGACCAATGTTCCAAAGACCGTTGTTATCAGTCGGTGGAAGATCAACATTATTGTGTTAACTATTTCGTCGGCCGTGAATGTATTGATAAACAAACGGAAGGATATAAATTCCTGGAGGGAAGGTAAGTAATTAACGATTGGAAACGATGGCGGGAAAAAAAGACTAATCAAATTTCTGTTTGTTTCTTTATTTTTCTCTTTCGATTACAGGGATGATATTCAAGAATTAATCGACCGAAAGAATAAATCAATCCCTCGATATTTAGAATTGTCCCAGAAAGAAATCGTTATAAAAGAAAATGAAAAATTCTCGAAACATGGATTGATACGAATGAAGTTCAAGGAAGAAACTAATTGTGAATGGAGTTTCAATTTAGATTCAGTTTGGGCTCCAAATGATGAGGATAAAATTAAAGAAAAACAATTTGATCACAAAACTGATGGGGACAAATTCTTAGTTGAAATTAATGGTCTAGTTAAACCTCAAAGTGTCGCGATCTCAGTTACATGTGACAAACCTGATTATCCATATTACAGAAATACAATTTACTTCACCTTCAGACCTGAAACAATGAGCCCATAATTAACTAATTAGTTAACCATTAGCAACTTCCCCTCTCCCATTGAAATAATGATATATAAAAAAATATCGAGATTTATTTTTGTTTAAATTGTTCACATGGTGAATTGTGATCATCAATTTGAAATTGAAATCGCCAAGAAATTTAAATAATTGAAATAAAATTATTAACATTTTAAATCACTTGTATTGATCAATGATTAACCAAATCAATTAATGAAAATGTTACCTCATATATTAGGGAAAAATTGATTAGTGGTAATTCCCATAAATGATCAGCAATTTTCTTTAACAATTTAATCTCAATAAGAATAAGAAGAAAAAAATTGCTAATTAGTTAATTGTGTCATCTAAAAATGTCGAGCACACGAAACTCAGGTGATTAGAATAGTTTGTTTTAGGAGGCAAAAATGAATTTAATTCTTATTACTGATGAAGACCTAATTAAGCAATGATTACACATTAATTTGATCAAGTGATGATGATAATTGTAATCACAATAATTAACAGAATCATCATTTTTATCAACAACTATGACAACCAGATAGTTAATTGAGTGACTCTTGTTGAGAAAAGTTAATTTCAATTACTATTGTATCAGAATAAAGAGAGAGTGAGACCATAACAGATAAGAGATTAATTAACTTGGAGAAAGCTGGAGTAACTAAATTTAGTTACAGTTGTCTTTCAACAGAAAATAGAATCACAATTAATCAGAAACAATTAGAAAAATTAATCAAGAGGGGAAAACAAAAAATCGATTCACTACTCAAAAGAAATCGAAAGGTTAGTTCAAAGTTCTAAGAGTAGAGGCGCTTCGAGCTTTTTTCTTTCTTAAAGAAAATTTAATTTTGTTTCTCTTTCTTTTTCTCTTTCATACTGGTAGCGCCCTCGGTCCATGGAAAAGTGAACTTTTTTGTTAGTCTTTCGTTTCGATTCAATTTTTTTTCAATGGAATCATTTTCCTTGAGATAGTTGATTCATCTCTCTTGCTCTCTTTTCTAATTGATTAATCTTTTCTTTTTATTTACTTTTATTAATCATTAATCATCATGGAATCAGTTTCAACAATCGGATCGAATCGTCATCCAGAAAGTTGCTTTAATTTGATTGATTTCTGTCCTGATTACCGACGACGACCAACAGCCTGGTTTTTAACTCCCAAATATCAGACCCTTAGGTTTGTATTATTGTTTTAGTTTTGTTTCGAGTGATTAGTTAATTGTTTTCCCTTAAAATATATTTGGTTAGTGATTTATTCGAGAAGATTAATTCATGGTTATCATCTCATCCTGAATGGATCGCTGTCTCTTGTGAATCAATCATTTACGATCCCGATTCTGGCTTTGGAAATGGTAAATCAGTTTCGGTTGGATGTTTGTCAAGAAAAGGAATCAAAGGAATCAGGTAATCAGTTAATCATTACGATTAATCAACCATATGGTCCATAATAATCCAAACCGACAGAATGTAACAAGAAAATTAATTGCGATTGTTACATTATTACTATCGTAATAATCAATTTTAATAACCTTTAGGAGACTAGATAACAATCAATGAGATCCTGAGTTGTCTCAATAACTATTAACATTATTACCGATAATTTGATTTCTTAAACAGTTATAACAAAGTAAACATGCTCAACAATTAACAAGGACAATCAAATCAAATTTGATAAACAGACTCATATTTATCAATTAAGTATAATAATAATAATGTTCAACTAAATGATTAATTGTCATTCTGGTGAGATGATTGGTTTAGTTAAATTGTTTATATTAATTTCTTCATGCTGGTTGTTACATCTGCCTAATTGATACAATTAACTGATTTAAATACGAAATACACTTGAATAATTATTATTATGGTTTCAACTTTTTCTCTTTAACAACAATTAAGACTCTGGTTAACTCCTAATAAGGGTAATCAACCTTTCCAAAAATTGGGCTGTGTCAATATCGTTCCTAAATTAAATGGTAACAATATAATTACCAATGGTTCCAATGGTCGGAATAGCTGGACACCTAATGGACATGAGACCATGGAGGAAATGGTCAACCGGGTCAACAATACACTCTCAAAGAAACCAATTGAAGGTATTAAACAATTAGCGACTTTAAATTGTTCAGCAAAACTTTGATTATTATTGCAAAACAAACATGACGATGATGATGAAACAAAATCAATGATCATCAACAGTATTTAGCTAATTAGTCAAGGAAATTAACGATTAACAATATCAATAGACTGGTAAATGAGGTAAACAATAAGTTATAATCATCGAGATATAAATTGTCAAGTGTATCTATTAATTGTCATTGATCATTGAATGTCAATGGTTATTGATTATCCATTTTTCTGTCTGACAATTAACAGTGAATCAATTTAAATATTATACAGACGAAAACAGGAAATTGTTCAAATCATAAATTTTTTTTACTATCCAAGATAATCAATCGATTGAGCAATTTAATTGATTTGTTTTTGTTTTTTTCTTCGTTTTCTTTCATTGATTGTTCAGGGAAAATTATCTCCATTGAAACTGTTCCAATTTCGGTTACCGGTAAATGGGAAATTGACACCGAATCGAGTGAATATAATCGAGACTCATCTTCTTATGCTCAAACCCTCAGGATTTATTACGAATATGGGGAACCCTGTAAGGAGGAAATTGGATTAAAAGATTTCATTCCAACCTCATCTCCATGGGATTCGCCGATGGCTCCACTTGACTACGAATCATTTGCCAGTCTATTCACTCGAGCATCTCAATGGTTTCGAGATCAACCCAAACACTATCGTTACCTTAATTGTCAATCAGTTGAAGTACCGTTAACACCCAAAGGTGAGATAAAGTCGATGAAAGAAATCAGTTGATCAGCTGATCTTAAGAAAAGAAACTTTTCTAATTCCTTTTCTAATTTTCTCTCTAACAACAGTTAATTCTGAAAGTAAACAACAAATTGACAGTAATTTAAGTCTAATTATTCCTGGAAAAGCGGAATTTAGCCTGAAATTCATTCGATTAGCTTATGCAGTTCCGACGAAAGGAATTCCCGTTGATTCAGTTTCTCATCAGGAAATTGTTCTTAATTGTAAAATCTTTGTACCAATTCGACTTAAATCAACTAATCAATACGAAAGTGTAGCTGCCACCAAGAGGAAAATGGAGGCCTGGCTTACGATCACAGGTAAGTTTCTTTGATTAGATTATCTTTCTAATTAGCCAACAATTAGTGTGGATAATTACTCACTTGAGAAAAACAATTAACCAATTCAAAGGGAAAATTTCATTTGTAAAGTTAATCGATAAACTAAATGACCAGTACCAGGTACTAATTGTACCAGTAATTAATTGTGATCAAATTGATAATGTTTATCAAATTAAACTACAATAATAATTTACATATTAATCATCTAATTAACTTTCATCACTTTAATTGTCTTTATATAATGTTCAAATATTATCACAATTGAAAAGCTCCAATTGTGTTCAATCAAATTGTCATCTTGAAATGAAAAACAATTGAGAAAAAGTTAATTACAGTTAATTGATTGTAACAAATTTACAAACCTTGAATTGAAGATGATTTAATTACTAATATAAAAAAACTCGTGCAATTGTGTAATTAACATTGTTGTCTCTTTGGAACAATTAACTTACAACTTTACTGATATTGATATCGATTAATTGTTAAGGTCTAATTGATTGGAACCATTTTTTTCTCGAACTTTTTCACAATCAACTAATCGTTCTAAACTTTTTCCATTTAGGTGCTAAAGTTTTATCGGCCGAAACGACGTTCCTTAAATTATCTTATTCCAACAGTAGTATTGCTGCAAATGTCGATTCGTGTTTGACATTACTGACCAATCGTCCGAACGACAGTCATCATATTGTCACTTATAGAGTTTATCTGGATGGACATTACGTCGAACCACCGACTCGATTATTACCTTCGTTCGAGAACGAATCACCAACCGAAGAATCAACTTGTTCAATAAGTTAATCAACCGATTGATTAACTGGTTACATTTAAAAGCTTTTACTCAAAAAAGTTCATTAACTTTTCTGCCAAACAAAATTAATAAAAATCGATTTTTTTCACAATCAAATTAGAATTTAATTTTTATTCTTTATTATCAAATTTATCATACAGAATCAAATAAGTACATAGAGATGAATGAATATTATAATAGTAGATTTTATATTCGAATTTTTTTTTCTTTTCGCAATTCGGTTTCGATCTTCTCGATTTCTTCTTTGATTCCTCGAACTTGCTCCGTTTTGATTGTTTCGTCTTCGATATCAATGTCCATCGGTTTCTCCTTCGCATGAGAATTTATGTTGGCTGCTAGTTCTCAAGATCTTCTAGACAGAGAGGATGATAGATTTTCTCGTCTTGACCTTTAACCGCATTCAATAGTTGCCATTCTTCTTCATCTTCGTTCCAAGAGGTTTCGAACTTTTCTTTACAAACAGCGCACACATTAAGAGTTTCATCTTCATTGGCACTAACTGTGTACACCTTTTTCTCTCCACCAACACCACAATCGTTTTCTTCTTTCTCGGTGTCCAAGTTCATCTCATCCGTTTCATCAGTTATCTCTTTAAAAGAAACCCAAAGATCAAGATGACAAAACCATCGACGAACTGCCGCTGATTTAGATTTAGAATCTGTTCTTTCTTGTCGATTTAATCTAAAATGCCAATCAAGATGAACCGAATATTTGGATCTTTCATTTGAATCTCCAACTTCGAATCGTAATGAACAATTAGGACATTGAGTTCCATTAATTAAATCTGCGATTACTTTTGGATGATCGGCTTTTAGTGATTTTGTCTCCAATAGTAAAGGTTCACTTTCAATTTCATCGATTGAACTAACTCGTTTTTCCGACGGCGGAATTAAACCAACAGAGATTAGATTATTCAATAAATTTCTAAGATTATCCGGTGGATCAGTTGAAGGTTTCGAGTTCGAAACGGCAATTGGTAGGGTAACTTGATTCGAAGACATTGATTTGGACCATTGCGATGAAGATGATGGACCTAAATTACTTGGGAGAGAAAGTGGTTGGGCTGATGGAAGGGGCGAAAAAGGGTTAGTGATTTGTATCGAGTTTTCATCCGATCGACCGAAAAACTTGTCAACGTATTTGACCCATAGATCGACTCTGATCTCATCAGAGATTTTAACCCGTGGCGGTGGACCTCCTAATCTGAGAGTGTGGGTTTGGTGTGAATCCCCGAGGAATCTAACATTTATCGGAGGTCCACCGAAAGAGACCTGATAAGGTTTACCATTGAGAATAATTTCTCGACAAGGTCCTCCTAACCTAATACTCTGAGCGTGTTGACCGTGAAAAAATGTTTTAGATTTAAAGTAAAATAAAACAATTTTTCTTGACTCATTCTTACCGTTATCGATATAAACTTTTGTTTGCTTGACCTCGAACATGATCAATCTAGGTTCAAGATCGTAAGGATTTATTTTTACTAATTCATTTAAAGACAAATGATGAGAGTCTTTCATCAAAACAATAGAGGTATTTTCATCTATAAAGAATAACTTGACTGTATTACCATCGACTTGGCAATAATGTTGACTAATATTTTCGTATGATTGAGGTTTTGAAGATGATGAATGAAAGTTTAAAGATGGTAAATGATTAGAAGTGGTCATTGGTTGTAAAGGTGATAATATTTGGGCCTGGGGTTGAATAAGTAGTCCGTTTGTAGCTTGTGGTGGAATGAGGGTCGTAATCTGTGAAGTAATTGCCACTGGAGTTGTAATTGATCCTTTTGATGGTGTTGGTGGGGCTGAAATGGGGATTGTTGATCTTTTTGATTTAGATACAGCTGATGACGTTGAATCTAGATTTTCTTTTTTTCTTTTGGCTGCTGGTGGTCCTGGATTAGTAGGAATACTAGGCCAAGCTGGATCAATACTTTGAGCCGCTGAATCAATCTCATGTAAATGATAATCAGAGAAAATACCAATCCATGTTTTCCTTAATTTATACAAACATTGACGAGTAGTCTCATCGCCTTCTTCAAAAACATGTTTGAAAACATCGACTATTTTCTTCTCAAACAATTCGGTAAAAGGTTTACCAATATTTTTACATATAGAATCTATTAAATACAAAACTGGAAGTTTCTGTTTAATATCAACCGTTGTAACACGTTTAGCAATCATATCTACAATATTAGGAGGACCTTCGGGGATCTCATCGAATTCAGCAGCGACCATAGTTAACATGGAGATGACGGTTTTCGAGTTGAAGGTCAACTCTTCCAATGAGTTGTGATATTCAAGCAAGGCTTCCCTCAAGGAGGACATTTTATGTGTGTACAAATGTGAACAGTGTGTGTGTATGTGTTTGTATGTATTTTTATACTGTATGTTGTCTGGATGTTGGTTGTTGGTTGTTTTGGTTGTTTTGGTTGTTGTTGTGTGTAAATGTATCAGATAAGTGAGTGAGCGAGTGTTGAGTGAGTGTGTGTTGAGTTTCCAACGGATAAAATTTGACTATTATTATATTATCTATAGAAATAATTTACAAAGAGAAGAGGAGGAAGAAGAAGAAGAAGAATCAGAATCAGAATAAGAAATAGAAATGGGAGAAAAAGATACTTTTTAAGGGAAGGGGAAAGATGAAGAGGACACAAGGAAAGAAACAAAAAAAATAATATACACTTTTTAAGATTTAATTAATTATAAACAAACATAAATGTTAAATTGTTGAATTTAAGTCTTTCAACATTTACAAAGAATTGGATGTTAATGATAATCCGCTAGAGGGTCGAGTGGAAAATGATTTTTTCTGGTTTGTTGCTAAGCAACGAACAAATTGAGCGGGTAATTTGTTTTCTCTTTTAATTCTTTTTCCATTTTTATCTAATTGTTTAAACATTTTAATTTAACATTTAGAAATCATTTCATCACAATATTATTTACAAACAGTTGGCTTTTAATCAGACTGATAATTAGAATACAAATTATCTTATTAATTACATGATAATCATATTGATTTGGATTTTGCCGCGAATTTTATTTTCACAATTAACTAATCATAACAATTCTAACCTTCTTCTAATTAGATCCTCTCTAATTTATATCGAAAAACACGCATTCCATTAATTAGAATCACAAATCGAGTGAAAAAAAAGTTATGTAATAAGTTAATTAACAGATTAATATTAAGATTTAAAACTTTCACTCGAAAAAGTTTATTGACTTTTTCAAAAAAAAAAACGAAAAAAAAATCAAAACATCGGCAAAATAACTTCGATTTATATCAGACAATTAAAGAGTAAATTGATTAAAATATTTAGAATAAAATAATTTCTCACTCTTCTCCAGCTTAAACAGAGATAAAGAAGAAAAAAAATAAACAATCAAAAATAAAATGGAAAAATAATTAATCGAAGTTGAGAAAATGAGTTAGTTCAGTTTTCCATGGGTAGAGGCGCATCGAGTTTCTTTTATCATTTTTTCTCTTGGGTCAATGGCGCCTCCAATCTGTGGAATATCAAACTACTCGATTTAATTCTTTTCTTTTTTTAATTTATTTCATCAGATTTTAAAAGATTTTCTTATTGATAAGACTAATTGTCATTTTCCTTTGTGCTTTTTTTTATCTCCAACAAGTTGGTAAATTTTATTCTTTTTACTTATTAGATTGATTTTATTGATGGAGTCAAGTGGGTCTTCGAGTGCGTCAAGTGACGATGACAGTTTCGATGAAGAAGGACCAACATCCTATCAGGACTGGAGAGCGTACATTGTGAAAACATATCTTAATGGTAAAGAACCGAGGAGACAAATTTACGAGGTTTCTGACAATTTATTACTTAAAGAGAGAGAAAATGTTCTTCTACCACAAGCTCAATCAACACCAACATCACGTCCAAAATCTCAGCCATCAGCTCGTCCATATTCACGTCAATTACAACACCAACAACAATTACAACAACAATTACAACCACCACAATCATTACCGTTACAAAGGAATCCACTTAAACATCATTTACCATTAGAATCAAATAAATCATCTGATGGACATAATTTTAAAGCCAAAGTTGCTAAAAAAGCCAATCAATCATCACCTCAATGCTCACGGCCAGTGTCAAGCTCTTCAACTGATTCACAAAAAGCTGATCATAAACGTTTTAAAAAACCTGATAGAGATGCTTCTGGTAATCTAATTACCTTTGAGACAACATCAAACCCTTTTGCTGTTCCTAAATCAACCACAGTTGGTAACAATAATTCAAATCACAGTAAAAATGGCAACACTTCAATGAGCAACAATCATAATAATTTTGCCACAGTTACTTCATCATTGAACAAAACTACTAGTATACAAACCTCTAAACCTTCACCACCACCACCACCTCCTCCGCCATCATCATCATCATCATCATCATCATCACGAGTTAGTAAAGGTTCAAATCATCCTGAAAATAATATTGTCCCAATTGTTAAATCAACTCCGGCGGCTCATTTAAAGGCACGAAGTGACGTTTTCTGGACTCTTAATTCAGCAGCGAAACTGTTACATGTTAAAACTCAATTAGACGAACCTTCAAAAATATATTTAGACAAATTAGTTAAAAGCAATACAAATTATCAAAGCGAAATTGCTAAACTACGTAAAGATAAACAAGATTTACAGAATATAATCAAGATGGTAGAGAAAGTAATCTCTGACCCAACGGGTGCTCGTAATTCAAGTTAAATGGTTAATTTAACGAGAAGAACAGAAAGAAAAAAGATTCACAACCGAGAGAAAGAGAAAAAAAAAATGAAACCGAGAAAAATAAAAAAAAAGGGAAACAGTTATTCGGTTAATTGTTATGTACATTTTTACACTTTATTGTCACATTTTCCTTCAAATTTTAAAGATGCAAAATTAAACTTACATTAGAAAAATTAACATTGAAATATAGTAGATTGAATATTCCATCATTGTTTTTACATAATTTGGTTTCTATTTATGCTTTCATTTGGGTCTTCGTTTGTAGATTAATTAAGTTGATCCAATTGTTGATTGTTGGTGTTGAACGCGTTTAAGATATACAGCAAACAGAAACTTCTAATTGACCTTTTGTTTGAGGTTCATGTAAAATATAATCTTCATCAATCATCACATCATCTTCATCGTTTTCATTTTCATTATCATTTTCATTTTCTTTACTATTAATATTTGTTTCATTATCTTCATTTACATCTTCATTATTAGAACTACTATCATCTGTTTCATCTTCTTCTTCATCATTATTAACTATTTTATCGCCATTTTCCTCCTCTTTGGTATCTTTCTCTTCTTCCTTAATCTCATTGTTTCCTCCTTCGACTACTTCGGCTCCTTCGCTCTCTTCAGGCTCTTCCGTTTTCACATTGATTGTCTCTTCTTCTTGTTTCACTTCATTGGTGTCCATTGGTTTAGAGTCTTCATTTCCATTGGTTGAAGGTGTTTCAATCACCGTTTCGCTTTTCACTTTCTCTGCTTCAGCGGCAGCAAGAGCGGCAGCAGCTTCGGCAGCGGCAGCAGCTTCAGCGGCGGCGATTGCTGCTGCTGCTGCGGCTGCTGCTTCCGCTTCTCGCTGTTTTTGAAGATCTTCTAGACAGAGAGGATGATAGATTTTCTCATCTTGACCTTTAACCGCATTCAATAGTTGCCATTCTTCTTCATCTTCGTTCCAAGAGGTTTCGAACTTTTCTTTACAAACAGCGCACACATTAAGAGTTTCATCTTCATTGGCACTAACTGTGTACACCTTTTTCTCTCCACCAACACCACAATCGTTTTCTTCTTTCTCGGTGTCCAAGTTCATCTCATCCGTTTCATCAGTTATCTCTTTAAAAGAAACCCAAAGATCAAGATGACAAAACCATCGACGAACTGCCGCTGATTTAGATTTAGAATCTGTTCTTTCTTGTCGATTTAATCTAAAATGCCAATCAAGATGAACCGAATATTTGGATCTTTCATTTGAATCTCCAACTTCGAATCGTAATGAACAATTAGGACATTGAGTTCCATTAATTAAATCTGCGATTACTTTTGGATGATCGGCTTTTAGTGATTTTGTCTCCAATAGTAAAGGTTCACTTTCAATTTCATCGATTGAACTAAGTCCATTTTCTCGACTTAATACTGATGGTGAATCGGTTCGAGTAACTGTCGATGGTGTGGTTTGTACATTTGTTGGTGTTGATGTTGTTGATTCGACTGAAGTTGTTGTAGTTGTATTGGTTGACAGGATTGAAGGTAATGGTGCTGATGAAGAACCAATTGTTGTTGAAGTTGAACAGTTAGACGGTGATACTGTTGATGTAGTAATTGAGGTTGTAGAGGAATCAGTAGTTTGAGGTTCAGTTGCTTTAATAATACCAACAGAAATAAGTTTATTAAATAAATCTCCAAGGTTAACTTGTGAATCAGTTGTTGGTCCAGGAACCGTGGAGGTTAAAGTTGAACCTGGAACTGGCACAGACGCTTGAAGAGAAGGTAAATTTACCGGTAAAGATGGTTGAAGTGGATTGAGAGACGAAGGTACATTGGCTGATAAAATGGCGGCGGGTGATGAAAGAGCGACAGTTGAATTGGGTAACAATCCTGGTGGAGCCAAATTGGGAGTTGAAAGTGTCGGTTGAACCAGAGAAGGTGTTGCTTGAGGTAGTAACAGTGAGGAGGAAGATGGTGCACCTAAAATACTTGGAGGATAAGGTGATTGGGTTGAGGGAAGAGGTAAAGAGGAATAAGAGGTTTGTACAGCCGGAATCGGATTTTCATCCGATTGACCGGTTATCTTTTTAACATATTCAGCCCATAAATCGACTCTGATCTCGTCAGAGATTTTAACCCGCGGTGGTGGACCACCCAATCTAAGAGTATGGGTTTGATATGTATCCCCGAGGAACTTAACATCTATCGGAGGTCCACCGAAAGAAGCCTGATAAGGTTTACCATTGAGAATAATTTCTCGACAAGGCCCGCCTAACTTAATGCTCTGAGCGTGTTCACCGTGAAAAAATGTTTGTTTACTGTTAAAATTAAGTAAAACAAATTCTTTTGACCCATTCTTATCACTATCAATATACACTTTTGTTTGCTTTCCCTCGAACATGATCAATCTAGGTTCAAGATCATAAGGATTTGTTTTTACTAATTCATTCAAAGACAAATGAGGAGACCCTTTCATCAGGACAATAGAGGTATTTTCATCTAAAAAGAATAACTTGACCGTATTACCATCCACTTGGACATATTGTTGACCAATATCTTTCGACAATTGGGGAATTGACTCGGCTGGTTTAAGAGTTGGTGGATGATGGTTTAAAGATGATACAAAATTAGAGATGGTCGCCGCTTGTAGAGGTGCCATTATTGGTGCCTGGACTGGTACAGTAAGTGCGCTAACTCCGATCGTAGCTTGTGGAATAGGAGCCATAATCTGGGGTGGAGTTGAAGATGGAGGTAAAACGGATCCAATGATAGTTTGACCATGAGCCTGGGGTTGAGGTTGAATATTGGTTAAGCCTGAGGTTCGTTTTTTGACTGGCAAATTTGTTGCCATTTCTTTCCGATAATCTCTATCCTGGGTTCCAAAAGCATTGCTTGATTTGGATGTGGTTGCAGGTGAAGCTTTTTTTATTGTTGACTCGGATACTGTTGACTTACAATTTGAGGTCGCAACAGTTGATGGAGGTTTACTGGCTTGCTTACGCCTACTTGGTGGTATTGTAGCTAAAGGATTTGGTGAAACAGCGATTGTTGATCCTTTTGATTTAGATACAGCTGATGACGTTGAATCTAGATTTTCTTTTTTTCTTTTGGCTGCTGGTGGTCCTGGATTAGTAGGAATACTAGGCCAAGCTGGATCAATACTTTGAGCCGCTGAATCAATCTCATGTAAATGATAATCAGAGAAAATACCAATCCATGTTTTCCTTAATTTATACAAACATTGACGAGTAGTCTTCGCCTTCTTCAAAACATGTTTGAAAACATCGACTATTTTCTTCTCAAACAATTCGGTAAAGGTTTACCAATATTTTTATATAGAATCTATTAAATACAAAACTGGAAGTTTCTGTTTAATATCAACCGTTGTAACACGTTTAGCAATCATATCTAGGAGGACCTTCAGGGATCTCATCGAATTCAGCAGCGACCATAGTTAACATGGAATGACGGTTTTCGAGTTGAAGGTCAACTCTTCCAATGAGTTGTGATATTCAAGCAAGGCTTCCCTCAAGGAGGACATTTTATGTGTGTACAAATGTGAACAGTGTGTGTGTATGTGTTTGTATGTATTTTTATATTGTATGTTGTCTGGATGTTGGTTGTTGGTTGTTTTGGTTGTTGTTGTGTTTGTGTGTAAATGTATCAGATAAGTGAGTGAGCGAGTGTTGAGTGAGTGTGTGTTGAGTTTCCAACGGATAAAATTTGACTATTATTATATTATCTATAGAAATAATTTACAAAGAGAAGAGGAGGAAGAAGAAGAAGAAGAAGAATCAGAATCAGAATAAGAAATAGAAATGGGAGAAAAAGATACTTTTTAAGGGAAGGGGAAAGATGAAGAGGACACAAGGAAAGAAACAAAAAAAATAATATACACTTTTTAAGATTTAATTAATTATAAACAAACATAAATGTTAAATTGTTGAATTTAAGTCTCTCAACATTTACAAAGAATTGGATATTAATGATAATCCGCTAGAGGGTCGAGTGGAAAATGATTTTTTCTGGTTTGTTGCTAAGCAACGAACAAATTGAGCGGGTAATTTGTTTTCTAATTATTTCTGTTTCCATTTTTATCTAATTAATTAAACATTTTAATTTAACATTTAAAAATCATTTCATCACAATATTATTTACAATTAATTGGCTTTTCTAATTTACATTTGGAATTAATACTCATTGGTTTCAGTCATTCTCTCTGCGAATTTAGTTTCAACCGTTTCAGTTACCATTACAATGATGATTAGAAAACAAAAATTTAATCGAAGTTGAAATGATTTCATCAAATGTGGAAATTGAATAATTAAAGAAATGTGTTATCTCAATATCATTTACAGTTAATTGCTGGTTAACATTGGATTCAAATGTCAGCAACTTGTTTCGTTTCACTTATTTTCCTTACCAGTGTTTTCGGACATTCAAATGATCGGCTTTTACCTCGTAACTTGCATTTGAGTTTTTTTGGTTACCCGAGGTCAGAATCGTCGTCGTCGCCACCACCGCCTTCAACTCCATGGGTCATATTTGACCCTCGACCTGAGTACCATCCTTTCCCTCTATTCGTTTATCCGTCACTAGAAAACTCACCAACAACTTGTAACTCTACTTGCAGTCCAATTAACACTACGATTACTTCAACCGTATCACAATCAGTGTCATCAAGTGTCACACCAATTACACCATCAAGCACCACGACAACAACACCGAACAATCAAAGATCATCAACCGATTTACCCTCAAATCCGTTTAATCTTGAACCAGTTCGATCACCGTTTCATTCAGCAAAACCGTTCTAAGAACAATCAATCAAACCTCAAATTGCTACAAATAGTAATCGCATATTAATCTCGAAATTTAATCATCCAAAGTTACGATTGATTATCTAATCATGCACTCCAAAGAGTAATAAGCTTCTTTATTCTTTTTGTTTCTTGGTTGCCGCAAATTAACGCACATCATTTAAAAAGTTAAACGCTTCACGTGCAAATAAACACGAAAAATCTTGATTCATGTTACTCGAAAAAAAATTCTCATTGTTTGCATGAATGTCTAATCAATTTTTCTCTTTAGGTTGATAATCGCAATCAATTTTTCTCTCTCGCGTTATCTCATCTCTAAAGATTACGAGGAGCGCGTGTTATATTGTCATGCTACGTGTTTCATTTTACTGGGTTCAACTGTGGTTCGGAGACAAATACGGATTATAAAGCCAAACCAAATGAGTCTGAGGGTAATTTTTTATCACTTGCACATCGAAAGCGATAATCAAATCTTATCAATCAAAACAATTTCTTGATTATCTAATTACTGATAAACTGTATTTATCGGATTGAGTTATTTTGATCTTGTAATCCCAATGTTTATGATTTCTTGTTGAAATAAGATAATTAAATTCAGATCTTTATTATTAATTAAATTTTTATTACTCAAGACTTGATCAATTTTCGAATGCGATTCTTCCCATCCCTATTCTTAGATCTCTTTGCCATTTTCAAATGTGAATCGTATTCAACAATTGATCAAAATCAACAATAATCACATAAATTTGAGAAATTATTCAGTAAAGAAACAATTAAAAAATGAATTTTAATCAAAGAGTTTACTTTTCTACTCAATATAAAAGCGAATTGACTATTATTAATAAGTTGAGAACTCGACGAAAGTTACTGAGAATAGTTGTAATGGCTTTAACTTAGATTTTCTGGAGTAATTCAGATGGCAGATCTCTAACGGAAATCACAACGGACCTTTTATCGTTTAGCTTTTGATTGAAGAGATTCATTTCTTGTTCTTTTTGTCTGTTTGGGTGTTGCGATGGTCTTGGTTTTTGAAGGGCTTTTCTTGGGGACTTTTGGATCAATTGATTTGCTTTTTTTGCCGACCAATTCACGGGAACGATCTTTCAAAAATGGTACTGATTTAGATTTGAGATGAACTGTTGGAATTACTACTGATTTAGATTTGAGATTTAACGACGATTTATGTTTGCTCCTTATGTCAGGTAGCGAGCCTTTGGATGGAAGATTTTTTGCCTCGACCATTGTGTCCGGGACTTTTCTGATCTCAGTGCGACGAGTGTAAAATACAACGAATACAATCATAGAGATAATAAAGGCGATAACTAGTAATATTATCAACAGGCTGTAAGAAGATTCAGGAGGAGTAGGAGTAGGAGGAGGGGATGGAGAAGGAGAAGGAGAAGGAGAAGGAGAAGGAGAAGGAGGAGGGAGAGGAGAGGGAGAAGGAGAGGAGAAGGAGAGGAGAGGAGAGGGAAGGAGAGGAGAGGAGAGGGAGAGGAGAAGGAGAGGAGAGGAGAAGGAAGGAGAGGAGAGGAGAGGAGGAGGAGAGGAGAGGAGGAGAAGGAGAAGGAGAGGAGAGGAGAGGAGAGGAGAGGGAGAGGAGGAGGGAGAGGAGAGGAGGAGAGGAAGGAGAGGAGGAGAGAGGAGAAGGAGGAGGGAGGAGAGGAAGGAGAGGAGGAGGAGAGGAGAGGAGAGGAGAAGGAGAGGAAGGAGAGGAGGAGGAGAAGGAGAAGAGAAGGAGAAGGAGAAGGAGAGGAGAAGGAGAGGAGAGAGAGGAGAGGAAGGAGGAGGAAGGGAGGAGAAGGAGAAGGAGAGGAGGGAGAGGAAGGAGGAAGGAGAAGGAGAAGGAGAAGGAGAAGGAGAAGGAGAAGGAGAAGGAGGTGAACCGATGGTGAAAGGATCACTATAAGTGATCAAGTTATCAATGTCTCTTGTTTCAAATGGACCTCGTCGTCTAAGCATAAGAATCGATAATTGATATTGACCAGAATTCACCCGATTGCAGTTGAGATAAATCTTGGACTGATTATACCTCACAACAGTACAATTTTCTATGAATGAAAGTGTTGTAATGTCGACTAAAGTGAAGTTCAAGGGAAAAATATTTGCATATCTTGAATGGTAACCGAGGAGATCGAAGTTCAAATCAAATGTCGGTTCATCAGGAGTGTAGTCTACTTGGATATTAGTTGGACTGAAACATGGATTTACTGTTCGATTCGTGAGTGTAATTTCTCTGTAAAAAAGATGATAAATTAGAATTAAAGAAATAAATAGGAAAGATATATAAATAAACTATTTAAATTCTTACCTTGAATTAGCAGAATTTGTATCACCGATTGAACATTCGCCCGATGTTAATGAACTTCCTCGTCTCCATTGACAATATCGAAGAAAATTACCATTCGGATTATAAACTTTTGTTGTAAAACAATCAATACATGAATTGTTCAGAAATGGACACAAAATAATTGGTTCATAGTAAGAATATTGATTAAGTGTAATTATCACACGTGGATGAGTAAAACCGTAATAATAAATTTGTGAAATTGTTTGATTTGCATTTACGATATTAGGATGAGTGAAAGTAGTTTCGTTCGGGTGGGGCAAGACAGAATAATTTTCATCGACAAAGTGAATTGAATATCGATATCTGGTAAAATTACTGTCAGAGGAAAGAACGAGGAAAACATAACCTGGAGTCGCATCGAGAGCCAATGGAATGAAATCGATGATTTGAGTCCAATTTCCCGTTAGAATACCTGTCAGATTATAAGCTCTAAAGTCTCTGCGTTTTGACCATATTGTTCGAGTGTTAGAGTTACACTCTGGACCAGATTCGCTGAACAGATCAGCCTTCCAAAAAGTTGCTGCAGTTCGACAACCATTAGTTGGCCTATCAAAGTCATCCACAATCGGATTAAATGGAATCACTGCAATATGATCTCTTCCATTTCGATTATAAGAGAATGCAATCAAAGAGAATGAAGATCCATTGCTCATGATAGAAAAAGAATCAACAAATCGAACTTTGTCAACCGAACCATAACGTTCATATAATGAAATCGAATGAAGTTCGGAGTAGAAATATCTTTCTAAACTGATTTGTGAGCCATTGATCGAAAAGACTGATAGTTGGGAGATGAAGTAGACTGGCCTTAGACGGTCAATTGTCAGGAGCCCGAACGAGTAAATCTTTTCCCGAAACTTGAATACCTCAAGAATTCTAAACGAGCGAACTCTGGATTCAATGTTAGCATGCTGATATCTAAACCGAAAAGTTCTTCCATTGGCATAAGATATCGTAAGCCAAAATATACCCGTTCGATTATTTGTTATACTGGATCCTGACAACATTGCAATTTCATAAAATGAAGTATTAATTGAAAGCCATCGATGAGTATAATAGAATCCTGTAGTAAATGGTCCGACTACATATTGAAAACCATTGCGTGTATAGGTATAACGCGCGAAATAGACATTGCCGTACTTCCTGTGTAAGAAGTAGTAATTGTAGTAATTGGGTCTACGAGAATAAGCTGGAGCAAAACGAGTCACGCTACTTCGTTCACCAACTGCGTTAGGG